CCCGCTGCGGCCCCGCTCTCCCCGGGTGAGCGCCGCCCCCCTCCAGGTGTCGCCCCAAGCACATGCTTGGTAGGCTGGTGCCTGGAGCCGGCCCTGCTCACAGCAACCTCAACTCGGCCCTGTGGCGCTCCTGGCATTTCTCTTGCGTAGTTCAATACATTTGTAGGGTTTCAGAAATGTTCACAAAGTGCCATCTGTCTGCACACGCAGAAGGCAGGGCCCTAAATGTGTAACACACACACAATATCCAGTGTGTCGATATGGATGAGATGACACTGCTGTGGGAAACTCAAAAAAAAATTATCCATGCAACTTAGTGATGGCCATGAGGAAGAACTGTGCTGGGAACCAGGACACCTGGGTTCGGCGCCCAGCTCCACCACAGACTTGGGGTACAACCTTGGGCAAGTCATCAAAATTCCCAAGACAGAAAGATCCCACATTGCAGATGGGTAAATCGAGTCTTCATTTACAGCTGTCAAGCATTTTGAGATCCCCTTATGAAAGATGCTAAAGAAATGCCAAGTTTTATCACACAGGAAGTGGGTGCAGTGGGGGGAGGGGGAGGGAAGGTCAAGGAATTGAGAATGTGTATTCCTTTATAAAGTTTATTAAAGATCACATCCACCGTACATTGCTAGCAAACCGGACAACCCATCCCCCTACAGAATGAGGCCATGTTCCTCTTCAAGTTTAAGGCATAAATGTTTTTTTTAATCGGATTGTGCTTTATTTTACTTTTGGAAAGAATCTGTAGACAAAGCTACAATAGAAATACATTTTTCCGAGCACCAAACACACCCTTTGTGTGGATTTGTCATTCGCCCTTCTCTTCCCTGCTGGACAGCGGGGACTGGAGTGTGTGAGTGGAAAGACTTGGCCAGTCCATTTCTCCTCACGGCTGGTTCTAAAGGAAAAGCATAGGCAATGGTCCCATAAATAATGCCTGGAGGACCACTTGGTCAGAGACGGGGAGTCTGAATTCCTGGGTTGGCTCTCAGCTATCAACCTGTGCCTGCAAATTCTTTGCCAGTCTCCCCAAGCAAACACTGCTCTACTTCATACAGGAATGAGAACTGCATCCAGGTCTGCATGGGATGCAATCTCACCCAAGGATGGTGGATTTGTTAACACCCCTCCTCCCCAAGATTCAGGATGCTTGGAGATCAGTATGTAGCACAACTGATTGGCACGAAGGCTCCAACACTACATGCGGCAGGCCGGAGAGCTGGGAGTACCAGTGGTGCTACCCTGATCAAACCACTTGCTTGAATTCACTTCCCCACCGTGAGCCATTCATTTCCCAAAAGAGGTAGAGAAGTAGGGGGGCCCCCATGTAACCACCCCACAGTCATACCACTGCACGCAGGGATTAGGCATGGGGGCCAGTTTTTTTTCCAAATTTGGGTGCTTACGTTAGCTTGCCCAAATGACAACTTAAACAACCGGGCCCTGTAACATAGACCCTCAAGATTGAAGACCAGGTTTCACATTGTTATTCCAGGGGTGAGTGGAGCTGGAAGGAATCTTGCAGGTCAGAAGGAAACCATTCCCCTTGAAGGGGAGCATCCCGAGCCTGCCAGATTCTTCCCCACACAGAAGTCTCAGAGCATGGCCCAAGCATTGCTATCTGTGAAGAAGACAGGAGCAGAAAGAGCCCTCAGCAAGTTGCATCCTGACTCCATATAACCAGAGAAGGTACAAGCAAAGTGAAAGGAGGGAAAGAAAAATCTCTTCAAGTAGAAGAACATGGCAGAGGCCAACCAGAGAGCAGGTACCCCTGAAATTCAAGCATCTTCAGAACAGGGCCAGCAACGACCCCTTGAATTTCCACTGGCCTGAGCAATTCTAAGAAGGATGACAGACAAATCCACGGTGAGGCTTGTAGGTCCCTTGGTGCTCTATAAAAGCCAGCGGGATTCTGGGAAGCTCCAAATACTTACCACCCCGTTTTTGGAAAAAAAGTAGTAGAAATCTTTAGATTTACATCATTCAAAAAAGTTACAAAAACTATATATATATATATATATATATTGTATTATATACACACAAACCTCAATACAGCACACGTGCTAAAAAAAGTCTTCTCTGCAAGTTGCAAATATTGCACTGTCGGTGGTTAAACCTTGATCTTCACCTAGGGAATGAAGTTGAGAGCATTGTTTCAGCCTCTTGCCCAGTGTTGGTTCTTCTTGCCTTTTTTTGTTTTTCTTTGTGAAGAGAATTGAGGTGCTGTTCAGCGCACGAGCGTGATCTAACCAGCCACCCATCACAAAGTCACCTCCAGACCAGCAGCAACCTCCGCACGCAATAGGGTCCGGTGGCTAACAAGCAGTGCATTTAGAGAGCCTCTCTCCCCTTCTTAATGGCATTTGCAGTTCAGCATCTGCAGATGATTGTCCCAGGCCTACAGTAGATGTTTCCTCCAGCATGAGCCACAATGGACCCACGTCCTCTCCTCTCAGCCCTGGTTGGAAAGAAGCTACCGAATGACAGTGTCCCAAGGCAGAGACTGTCCCTTTTTTGGTCAGGAGGTGTCATGGCGTGGAAGATCCAAACCATTTGTAACCATTGTCTGTTGTAGTTTGACGGAAAGGGACCCTGGAGGACCAACGGAAGACAGTTGCAAGGATGGAAGGTGCAGCGGCTTTAACGACCCATTGTTATGAACAATAAAAGCAAAGCACATCGCTCAACGGGATAGTGACTAGCAACCCAGGGCACATGGCTTTGAGCCCGTCAAGAATCGAACTCAGATCGTAACGTTCCTTGACCATCTCTTTGCATTTCATACCATCCACCCTGCCTCCCTCCCACAGATCTTCACCAGGACCTGCGACTTCTAGGAGAAATCCCTGGACACGGGGGAGCAGCCTGTCTCCATACTGTGGCGTAACATACCTAGAGTATATGGGGGCAGGGGAGAGATCCATTTCCTAGAGCCAGGGAATGGGTTGGGGAGGAGGGGAAAGGACACACTGCTCTTCAACCCACACCCCACCTCACTGCAACCCCTCCTGACTCTAGGACCGTGAAGTTTCATGGGGTTCTGCAGAGAGATGGGATTGAGCCATGAGCTTTGGATCCAGAACCGAATCTCCCCTCCCCCATCTCTGGGAGGTTTGGATCCAGCCGTTTATGAAGCTCAAGCCAAGACACCAACATCTCCCGAGTTCGAGGGGGGTTGGAGTCAGGTGTGGAATTCCCTACGGCATCAAGCTAGTCACTGCCCTTCCTCTCCAAACCAAAGCCCGGCCCAGTGATGGGCAGTCACTGGCGCCGGGGGCAGGGAGAGCTGACTGGCACCAGCGCGCTTGTTACTGCAAGCATCAACACGATGCAGAAGGGCTGTGGGTTCCACAGCTCTCCGCCCAGATGCATCCAGAGCATGGCTGGAGTAAAGCCCCACCAGTCTCTTCCACCCCTGGCTTACCTGACGGAAGGAGAGTTTTTAAATCAGGGAGAGGAAGTGTGGGGAACAACATGGCAGCTCCCTCCACCTTCCAGCTAAGTGACAGTAACCGTGTCCTGCAAGGATCGATCCATCGCCCCCTTGTTTGGGGGCCATTCGCTCCCAGACGCTCTGGTGATGGGCTCATGCCCTGCATCGTAAACATGGAATGTTCCGTTTTCACGGGGACTGCTGGGCTCCCTGCAGCTGCGAGCTAGTGAGGCACAAACATCACTAGCATCAGACGGCTGCTTCTAGCCTAACGCAACCCCCACTCCCCCGTTCCTCTCTGGATCAACAAGGCCTTGGCCATGCAGAGATCAGAACCTGGGTCCCTCAGAGAAGGTGCCAACGTGGTTTCAAATCTCACCATGACCAGGGATGGAAAGTCTGCAGGACTGGACCACCCCCCAACCCACCCAGTTGGTTAAGAGCAGCGAAGGGTTGGCCGTTGGCTGCCAAAACAAGCCTCTTTCTGGGCCAATTCCTATTTACTGTGTGCCACTTCAGTATCAGAAACAGACAGACGGACGGACGGACAGAAGAACTCTCCTTCCTGCTACAAGCAGGGGTATCCGGTGTGCAGCCAGGCAGGAGTTCTGTTACAGCCGCGGAGCTGCAGGAGGAAGGCAAAGCTAACGAACGGCCGGGTTTTATTGCTGGTGAAGTCATCCAATGAGCCCCGCCGGCTCGTGCTCCATGGAACAGACCAGTCTTGGGAGACAAGAAGATTGTGCACATTTATTTTTGTTTTTTTTAAAAAACGTATAAATCAATAGGAAAGTTAGAAGAGGCCCCACCAGCAAATGACTGGGGCCCTGGGAGGTGCTGGATTTGGGTGCCCCTGTTGGAAGAGGCAGACAAACCATATTCTGAAGAATCCCAATGAAAGCGCAACACCCTTCTTTGCCAGCAGGGGGTCTATACACATCTAGGATTTGGGGATCAGTAGGTATCTTTGTGGGCCCCTGGTATTTGTTGCCCTCCAAAATTCAACCTCTGGGAGGAAAACAGAACAGGCTCTTGCCAGTCTCATCACATTAAAGCTTTTCTGCAGCAGACCGGCCTCCTGCCGAAAGCAGTCCTTGGTTTTGGTACAAGTTCTCTACGTAGTGCAACAGGGTCTGGTTAAGGCCACCCAAGGAGGACTGAGAATGCAGCGATGGTCATCGTCTCGCATCTATTGCGACGTTTCCCTGCTGGGCGGCAGGGGGCACCGGCTGCGGGTTTCCTGGCCTCTCCATCCAGCGAGAAAGTCACAAAGAATAATACAAAAATGTTTTCCACTTCAAGCTCTGCAGGAAACAGGCTGGGCTGGGGGGGACGCCAGATCGTCCCACGTGCATCCTGGCTCGGCAAGCCAGGGTCACCGGTGCAGGCCCCTGGCTCGGAAAGGGATCCTGAGCTCTGCACACTCGGAGAGCGAGTGGTCGAGAGCCCCGGTGCGGCAAGGCTCCCACGGTTCACGGCGATCGCCATGCTCCCTGGGGAAGTGCAGATACCTCCGAGTGGCGAGGCTGGACCGGCCCCCTCCGCCACCCCTCAGAGACCTCCTCTGCCCAGTAATGCTCTGGGGACAGGTCACCTCACATCAAGCCTGTCCCTTGGACTCGGGCGGGTTGTACTCAGTCTCTCCGGAGGAGACCTGGGAGATCCGGCGCGTGGAACGCCACAGCCGTCTGTGGAACTGCCCCGTCCGCACCTGGGGAGAGAGCAGAATGAAGGGGCAGGGCTGAGGAGCGACGTGGAGGTGCTTCGCGGAGAGGGGTGGGGTCGCTCCGTAGTCCGTCTTGGCTACGATACAGACCCGGCTTCTGTAAAGGGGGCTGCCCCGCATCACAGAGCCCCGCCCTCCAGGCCAGGGTCTCATCACACAGCTGGGCTGTGCAGCAGCCTGGCCCCTGGGATGCCCAGCCCCTCGAGGGTTGGAGCCTGCCCTCCGGCACGGACGAGCCGTCTCACCAAAGAGAGTGGGGTGGAGTGGGCAGAACCTTTGGCCTAAGGGTTCGTGCCAAGGCTTGGCTGATCCCACCCATTTCACGCTCCGGAGAGGGGCCGGATTTCGAGCGTTCTGCTGTGGGAAATCCAGCCCTGCCGTCACGCCGCCCACGAGGAGTCAATCCCTCAGTCTGCAGACAGCGGCTCAGACTTCATTCATGGCTATGGGCCAACCTTGGCGCCTACCTGGGCTGGCTGGGAAGGCAGTGCCTTCCCAGTCTCACCCTCCTGCCAGCAAGGTGCACCCCCCGCCTCCGATCATGCAACTACTTCACTGGTGCTTCCAGCTCATACTGCACCCGTTCCCGCCCACCCCCACCGAACCACGGTCTCCATTTACCTCCGAGGGCTGGCCTGCTCCCACCACAATCAGCTTCCCATCCTCCAGCCCCACCAGGATGTGGCTCTTCTCCTTGGTCACGGACACGCTGTGAACCGGGACCTTCATGGGCATTGGCAACACCGCTGCTTGGAGGCTGCAACGGCAAGGAGGGGGGCATTTAAACAGTGGGGAGAGCTGCTGGGGACTCAGCACGGACTGTGGAAAGGGACAGACGGGCAGGGTGCCCTGCCAGAGACCCCCCCAAACCCACCCCCGCTCCCGGATCTTTAAATCGGGGGTCTCTCAAAGCGCCCTGCTCACGCAGCAAACCGGCTCCTGGCTGTGCTCCGAGCCAGATCTGGGGATTTTACTGCATTTCACACCTGTTCACCCAGCCAAGCTGACGCAGCTCCAGGACAGGGAGCTGGGTCCCAGTCTGGCTCCTGCATCAGTCAAATAGTTGGCTAAGTCCCAGTTGCAGGGAGAAATGCCACACCGGGACAACTGGCTTGCGCGGGCATCTGAGGGCAGAGTTTTATTCCACAGACCCTTTGGGACGAGGGCGACGCGTGAAAAGGAGAAAGCCAAGCTTGACTCTCAGATCCCAGGCTGGTGAGTAGGAAAACCAAACCATTTCACTTCGCAAACAAGAGTCAATCTGATCTGGAATTCCTGCCATGCAGAATCCCACAAGGCCAGCAGGGAGAACCACGTTTTCAGGGGTCGATAAATGCAGTTTTAAGTGCCGTTCATAGTGTCCCCAGCAGCCCGGCCCCGCGCAGACAGTTACAATGGGTGATTCTCTTTCACCCGCAAGAGCCGGCAAGACCAGATCAAACTGGACAGGGCCACAGGCAGGTTTGCCCCAACCTGCTGTGGAAGCGGGAAAAAAGCGCAGACATCTTAGTCTTTTAGGAAGAGCAAGAGTCAGGCTAACTCTGACAGCTACTAACGCGAGACTCCCAGGCAGGGCCCGGGCGAGTGGAAAAGAACTGTAAGAGAGGTTGTTTTGACCTGGTGTTAGATAAGAATGGAACGCAGACTATAGCAGAACTGCTGAGGAAAGTAAGATAGCAGGAAGGAATATGTATAAACAAAATGCAGTTGTTGATCATTACTGTATGTCACGAAAGGTATAAATGCTTGCCCTAATCGTTTATCTTTTGGGAGACCTGCCGTTGTGCACAATGCCCCTTGCAACATTGCTTGAGAATAAACTGCCTCCGACATGTTGCAACCAACACAAGCGTGAAGGACTGTGTTATTCTTCCCCACTGTAAACATCAGCTTCCTAATCCCTGTAAGGAGCCCCCAGAAACGGCCCCAACAGACTCCTCATCAGTACGGATTCTATGGGCCAGGGAAACCAGCAGAGGATTTCAATTTAATCCCAAAAGAATAATCTCCACTCCCATTCGTGGACTTTATGGCCAGAAGGGACCATTGTGATCATCTAGTCTGACCACAGGCCAGAGAACACATTCAGCTCACTCCCAGATGGGACATGAACCCACAACCCCGCTTGGGAGCCCCGTGCCTTACCCATTAGTACATTTCACCTCCCGTGCTACTGAGCATAAGGTACCAGCCACGCCCTAACCTCATCCTGAATAAAACGGGACGTTAATGGCTGCATGAGTATATCTCGTCCACGGGGGGAGCTCCTCCAGAAGATGGTAGGCTACCCTGGGGGGAAGAGAGGTGCAGATGCAAGACCCACACGCTATGCTATCGACTCACACGCTGGGTGGTTTTAGAGAGACAGCAACTGAGGAAGAGCGTTCGCCGAATGTGGAGGATCATGGCTGTGACACACTCGGGACCCTTGTCCCCTGCACGGGAGTGACACACGGCGCTGGTAGTGGGCCCAGGAAACCGACGAGGGGACATTTACCTCTGAAGATCCAAGATCTGGAGAGAACACTGCATGGTCCCCAGAACCACGAACTCCTCGGAGACACACAGGGCTGTGACCTGCTCCTCCAGCGGGACGGAGGAGAGATGCTTGCCGTTGACGGAATAAAGGTGCAGGGCAAATTTATCCTTCAACAAGAGAAACGAGAAGGGCGTTGGGGGAGCAACCGACAATGGGTTGAAAACTTTCCAAGGGCGCCTGTATTCTAGGACGCGACTGGGTGAACAGCTTTGGGCGTGGCCGCGGAACCATCTCTCCATGACTCCCCGTTCAAATGGGCCTGGTTCTTACCTTCTCGGGCATCACCAGCCATAAAGGTTCTGCAGGCCGAGCTATACCATCAGCAACGCCTCCCCACTGCCTGCAACAGGCGCGACTGGAAATTACTACCCAATTCCGCTGGTGATGCACACGAAGGAGTAAGAACCAGCTTCCTCCCTCTTAGCAGTGCTGGCTCTGCAGAGTTGGAAGAGTGAAAATCTCCCCAGAGCCTTCAGTAAAACATGCCTCTGGATCCATGCCGGGAGCAGATCCATGAGAGGTGGGGATGCCATTTTTAAGAGGAGAGCAGCACTTTACTATACCAGCCAAATACCTAGCGTGACCAGGAGGACAGAAAAGCGACAGGTCTCACTGCAATACGAGAGCTACGCAATGCATTGAGACACTACGGGAACCAGCACTTTGGATCGACAGATGGAGCCTCAGAGAGGGAGCAACTTTTGAGCTCTCTTCACTGCAATCATGTGGAACGACCTCTTTCGATGAAACCATTGAAACCGGAGCAGCGGCTGTGCTCAGCCTAACCATCGGCAAGAAACCTCCACGCTACACAAGACCCTTCACTCTCATTTTCCCTCTTGGAGATGCACATTTTCCATATCTCTAGATACATTTACACCCCCACACACGCATTGTGGGACCCTCCCGGCATAGGTGTGAAACCAGGAGAAACTCACCAGCTTGGATTAAGTTTCCCTGTGTGCTCTCAGGGTGAGTCTGCACTGCAGTTAAAAACCTGCGGCTGGCCCATGCCGGCTCGCAGGGCCTGTGCTAAGGGGCTGTTTAGTGGGAGTGTAGATGTTCGGGTTTGGGCTGGAGCCTGGGCAGGAAGGTCCCTGAACGTCTACAGCACAATTGACGGGCCGCAGCTGTCTAACTGCAGTGTAGACATACCTGGAGAGTCTCCTCGGGGCATAACAAGTAGTACACCTGGGGGAATTCTGCGCCACTGTGTGCGCACATAATTAATGTGCCGTGCATAATGTTTTTTCCTCCGCAGAAAATAACTTCTGCCAAAAAGTTGCTGCAGTTCTGCCTTTTGCTCACCCGGGGCCGCTGTGGTGCTAATACAGAACAGCCACTCCTGCGTGGGAGCAGCCCCAGCTGCCGATAGGGAAGGGAAGAGGTTGCCTGCCTGCCAGCACCCTGCCAGCGTTGCCAGGTCAGGAGACAGGGAATATGGTGGGGACACACAGCGTGGGGCTGGGGGGTGACAGACTGGGGTTCTTAAAGGCTATTAGGAGAGGATAGACTGGGGTAGTGGCTGAATGGGAATGGAGGCGCTGGGCCACATGGGGCTGGGAGGAGGGGGTGCAGGAACACATGGGGGAAAGGGGTGGCTGAGGGGGCACAGAGACACATGGGGATGGGGGGTGGTGCATGGACACATGGGGACAAGGGCAGATATGCCTGACTGAATGGGAGAGGCCAGGGGTCAGCCAGGGTCTGCATGGGGGAGGCTCCCTAATAATCTCTTGCTGCTCCCCACCCACACCCAACAACCCTCCAGGTTCACTCCCAGGTTCCTTCCCTCTCCCTCAGCTCCTCCGTTACCCCAACTCCCCCAAGCCTTTGCACTGCTTCTGGGGGGGGGGGGCAGGAAATACGGTTCTGTATTGTAATTTAAATGAATTATTACACAGAGTTCTGGATTAATATGCCTAGCAAGGAATCTTTTTTTCAAAAAACATTTCCTTAATCTTTTTCATTGTCTGTATTGTTATCGACATACTTGTTGACAGGTATTTTGAAATAAATTACCCAAATAATTGAAACTGGTGTGATTATTTTGTGTTATTTTGACAAATAAAATATGCAGAATTTTAAAATATGGTGTGCAGAATTTTTAATTTTTTGGTGCAGAATTCCCGCAGGAGTAAAGTGGAAAAGCTGTGTGTGTGTGTGTGCGGGCGGGGGGGACGGGACAGCGCCTCCTGCCGGGTGGTGGATGCGTTGTTCCTAGACAGGGATAAGTCCCCAGCTCTGTTTATTTGGGATCGGAATCTGGCTGCTGCTGATCTGCTCCGAGGCACGGTGCCATCACCACAGCAGGGTGGAGTTACCGTCCCTTCCCTGCTGGGTTTCGGAGCGTGTCCGAGGCGCCCGTCCTTGCCCCCAGCGTCCCATAGGGAAAGGCCATGCTTGCCCCTGCATTGCTACTGGGCCCGCAGGTCCCGGCCCACTCACCTTCAGGGAGGATCTCCCCGCCACGGTGGTCTGGACGATGATCTGACCCTCCAGGCCCACGGCGAGGTTCGAGACAGTGGCGGGCAGCGAGCTCTCACAGGGGGGCTTGATGGACTTCATGAACTGGCCCCGGCGGATGGTGTGGACGATGATGGTGCCGTCCTGCCACAACGAGAAGGCCTTTCGGCTGTCACCAGGGCAACTGGGTTCTTTGCTCCCACTTACCGTCAATGGGCCCTCAGTGTCTAATTCCCATAGGCCTCTGAAAACCCTAGCCTTATTCTCCACCTGCCCTGAGCCTTTCATGAGGACGCCCAAAAGCTAGGCGGGCGACACAGATGAGCCATTGCCCTTTCATCTGGCTAAAGTCTCCACCTCATCTTTGCTGGGCAGGTTTCGTGTTGGTGCATGCTCTCTCTCCGGCCCTCCCACGAAGAGGGGTCCTGAGAACGGGATAGCAAGCCAAACTCCCCCAAAGCTGGACTGCCAGGTGTGGCGAGCTCCAGGACAATGGCGGGGTGCAGCTGGCATGACAGACAGGAAACCACTTCAAGCCCAGCACCCCTAGCACCCCCAGCACCCCTAGCTCCAGCACCTATGGATCCTCTCCCCAGGAAGAGAAGTTAAAATGGCAAAGTGACCATATGCAAATGGAGAGATTTTTGCCTAGGTGCATAAAACCTTCTTCTCCCTCTTGACTTAGCTACAAGCCACTCCAAAGCCAGGATGACACCTGATTTCCTACGCAAAACGATCCACTCACTGTGCAATAGGCCACGAGGTAGGTGGGGAAGCTGGGAGTTAACTGAATGAGAAATAATTTGCTGTGTGAGACTGAAGGTCAAATGGGGTAACAGGCAGTTTGCCCTAAGAAATCAAAGCCACATTTTCACCCCAACTTACCAACTACCCATTTGTTTGCCTTGTAAATCAAATACACTGTGGCTAATCTGTTTTTGCCCCATCAATGAGTCTTTCACTCCAAATTAGAGGCTGCACATTTGCTTGTCTTGTGAGTAAGATCTACAGTGGAACCTCAGCTTTCCGAACTGACCCATCAACCACACCCCTCATTTGGAACCGGAAGTACACAATCAGGCAGCAGCAGAGACTGGGGGAAAAAAGCAATCGAGTACTGTGTTAAACATAAACTACTAAAAAAAATAAAGGGAAAGCAGCATTTTTCTTCTGCATAGTAAAGTTTCAAGGCTGTATTAAGTCAACGTTCAGCTGTAAACTTTTGAAAGAACCGTGTTTGGTTCAGAGTTCTGAACGTTTCAGAGTTACGAACAACTTCCATTCCCGAGGTGTTCGGAACTCTGACGTTCTGCTGTACATCTCTCTGTGTGTGGACAGCGGCTCTTGTTCTGTTGTGTCCCTAGCCTCTGGCTGTCAGAGGGGCGAGATGGATGGCAGGGGAGAGATCACTTGATCATTACCTGTTAGGTTCACTCCCTCTGGGGCACCTGGCATTGGCCACTGTTGGTAAACAGGATACTGGGCTGGATGGACCTTTGGTCTGACCCAGTACAGCCGTTCTTATGTTCTAAACTCTAAATAACATGAAATGCTTATGTACAATCAAAGACCCTATAAAGTACGTCCATCAAATCTGGAAGATTTTTTGGTGTTCATTGTAAATAACCGACACTAGAAAGAGAGAGACCAGGTGGGTGAGAGGATATCTTGTATTGGACCAGCTTCTATTGGTGGGAGGCACAAGGTCTGTGTAGCTCAAAAGCTTGTCCCGCTCACCAACAGAAGTTGGCTCAATAAAAGATATTCCCTCCCACACCACCTCTCTCTAAATTCCTGGGACCCAGATGGGTACCACCACACCGCAGCCTAGAAATAACAGGAATTGTCTGGCACCAAAAGAAGGAATGTTGAAAGATATAAACACAGGAATAAGTTTGAATTAGCCACAGAAATGGCTTAAAAAGGGAGAAATCCCAGTTAATAACGTGGGCTAATATTGAGATGGGATCCTGGATAAGAATCAAACATAAAAAAGCCTCAGATAGGGAAAGGACTGAAGAAATTTGTTATACGCCAGCGCCATCTAATGGATATCGATGGAAGCGTAAGAGAAACAGCTGTCTGTTAGAAATCAGAGGGTGGTCCCCACCAAGGAGCCCTGAAATCAGAGTATATAAAGCTGAGGTCACCACGTGGGACCCCCAGAATTGACTGAACCCATGAGGAAGCTTCCAAATCCCCCGTGCAACGGATGCCAGGACCAGCTGTGGGCAGTCTCCATATTCCAGGGTTAAGAGGATAAGAATTGGGGAGATTTCATTTCAGACTGGATTTCCCCTTCTGCTCTTTAATATAAGTAACTAGGTGCCCATTCTCTAGGGAGACCTCCTGTAACCATAGTTAGGCGTTGAACTCATGCTAGACGAATGCTCTCCTTCGTAATGCAGGCAAACTGGCCCAAGAGAGATCTGAACTGAAACTTAAAGCAATTTTAAACTTGTCCCTTTTGCAACCAATCCATTCAAACAGCAGGGACTCAAAACTGCCTTACAGACAAATGCACCCGACCTCCTTGGAGAAACGCTGGCAGGGTGTTAGGTACTAAGAAATGATGCTCATAAGTAAATGTAATAAATCTTGCTGGTTTAACTGCTGAGCTCAACCCTAGTCTTTGACAATTGCTTGCAAGACTGTGTTGGTGTGTGCGGCTCGTCCCACGAGCATTGGTTGCTCCTACATGTGAGTGGTGAACTGCTGGGTATGTTAATCTGGTTCTGGATCAATTAATACACTGCTGATTGGTAATGTGTCCTGACTTGAGAAATACTGTTCAAGTGAAGAGCGGATCTGAAAAGAGCCCAGCGTTAAATGAGGACGTGAACACTCGCTGGACTCCGATACTGGCTACAGCACTTAGCCAACTGGCAGATCTAGTTGGTTGGAGTTCGGCTTTAAAATCTAACGGGCACCAGCAAACTCTTAACATTGACGCCTTCCGCCCCCCCGCGCACCGTGACGCATCCTCACCTTCGACCCCGACACGGCCATGTCCAGCTCGGTGCTGATGGCGACGCACGTCACCTCGGCGTCGTGACCGTACAGGACTTGGACAGGTTTGGGAGCCAGGCCACTGGAAAACCCACCCTGGAGAGAGAAACCAGGGTCCGTGGGCCAGATCCTGAGCCAGTCTCGGCCCCGCAGTGGAGCGGTCGCCGCTTAGAGCAGCGGAGGATCTGGCCTGGAAAGGCCCAGAGGAAACGGAGCTGAGGGGACACATGCTGGGGATGGGAAGCGTTTGGAATCACCGTGCGAAGCCGCCGATGCTGCTTGCAAAGCCCCAGGGGCTGAGCGAGGCTGGAGAAGTAACCACAGCCACACTCGCCAGGACAGCTCAGGAGAAGCCCCAGCCACGTGGCAGCGAGGCCGACGCGTTAGGGGAGCAGAGCTCAGAGCCCTTCCAGCGGGGCAGGCTGAACCGGGTAAGTTCCTATCCTCGTCTCCAGAAGGCAACCGGCCCCAGCACAGAACTGCCACAGAAGCTAGTATGATGGAGCAATCGCTGCTCGGGACAGGGCTGGACCAGGAGTGCGGGGAACTGGCATTGGGTAGAGCTGGGTGTGGGGGGCCAAAGGCTGGTGCTGTGGGCCAGGAGTGAGGGGCACTGGCAGAGCTGTGTGGGGAGGCCCAGGGTTGGCATGGCAGGAGGTACTGGACCCAGGGCTGGCATGGCAGGGGCTGTAGGCCAGGAGTGAGGGGCACTGGCAGAGCTGGGTGTGGGGGGTGCAGTACCACTCCCACCAGCCAATCAGTATCAACTCAACCAAATGCACACAAAAGCATCCTGAAAACCTTTGAAGAGACATGGGGGTGCCCTGCTGCCAGCGCGTCCTCGGACCTACAGAATGGTGCCTCCTAGCCCAGGAGCGAAACACGCTGAGGATCTGCCCTCTCCCCTACCGAGCCCAAGAGTCACGCGAGTGCCTTGCCAGGAAGTTCCCAACCACCCAGAAGCCTCCTCGGACCCCAGCCCCGAGCTACTGAGTGGAGCACGTCCGGCCGGAGCCGGTCTCCCCCTCACCTGCTGCAGGACCTGCCAGACCATGCAAGTGGTATCCCGGGAGCCCGAAATGAGGTAGATTCCGCACAGATCGAGCGCCAGGCAGGTGACCACATCTGCAAGGAGGGGAAGAGGAGACGTTGCTTCCGAGACGCCGACCCCAGCGCCCCACGATGCCGATCCCCACCCTGTTTCCCTGGGGCTCTGAGTTGGGGCTGGGATCTCATGGGTCCCCTTCGCTGGAGACTCCGCACCCGAGAGAGGGGCTGTGGGGCAGAGCCCACCAGGCACTCCGGAGGGGGTGGAAGTTAGTGACCGCAGGGTGAGCAGCATGGCTCATTTCAACCCCACCTGGTCCTACGGGCAGGTAACTCCTCTCCCCAAAGCACCAGGTCACAGAGATGAGCCACAAAGAGCAAGGGGTGGCTCCGGGGCCCTGGCTGGCCCGAAGCGTCGAGAGTTTGCCAGTGTCTTCCTAGCGCCCCCGTAAGTCATGCCACGGTTGATCAGCTGGGCACGGGGTGGAACAGCTGGGGGGCTGCAGGCCAGGGTGGAGATGCATTGGGGGGATGGGACACAGGACTTTGGCAGGATGGTGCCTAGCCAGCGATGTGAGTCCCTCCGGTCCACGCGCCCCGCATCGGGTTACCTCCCCCCCCCCCCCATGCCAGCCCGTCCGGTCCCCATACCTATGTGCCTGGTGATGTGCCCGATGACCTTCCCTTTGCTCAGCGACGTGACACGCAGGCTGTTATCCCAGTGCCCCCCGCTGAAGAGGAGCTTCCCGTCGGGAGAGACTGTCAGTGTCTTTGAGGACACCTCCACCCCCGGGGCGAAGGGGCCGGAGAGGAAGCGCTGGGCTCTGGCGGAGGAGACAAGAGCATATGGCTACGGTGTGTCGCCCCCGAGAGCCGCCTGCGCTTTGGCTCCCGGGAACTCTCCGCCGCGTGGTGGGGGGTCATGGGGAGGACAGAGGGCCGGGGCCTGCGGGAGAGGGGGCGTGGGAGCCCCGGCCGGCACAGGCAGGGCGGAGGGTACAAGCAGGACCTGGAAGGGGGCAGTGGATTACCTGCAATCCTGTGTCCAAAGAAGGCATTTGGGGCTGCCCCATGTCCCAGAGCAGGGAGGTGACCCACCCAAGGCACTCCACCGGGGTGCCCTACGACCAGAAGACTGCTCCGTTCCCTCCCAATTAGCTAAGAGCAACAGAACTGGCCAAGGGGCTACGAGGACTGGCCCTTGGGAGGCGAATGCCAGGAATGGGCATGCACAGCTTGGCCGGGGGCCAGGGAGCAGGCTGCCGGTCAGGGAGGGTTTGGAGCCAGCTCCTCTAGGGGGCGGCTGGAAGAAGTGGGATAACGCTGTGCAAAGGACGCCGTAGGGTGACAACCGGAGGAGCGTGCCTACTGGCCGGGGGAGGGGTGGAGGCCACCTAAAACCGGACTGGACTCAGCGTCGGGGCCGATTCCCAGGGCACTGAATGGCAGGAGACAGGGAGGGATCCGGTAACGGGGCTCCCCGCCAAGAGGACTCACTTTGCATTGGAGACGGTGGGGTCTTTGGTGAAGCTGAAGTAGTTGGAGATGTTTTTGTCGTAGGGCAGCCAGCCGTGCGTTCCCAGCAGGCCGTTGGCGCTCACCGTGACCTAGGCAAGGAGAGGGAGGCTACCAGGAGAACGCAGAGTGCGCAGCCCCTGGGGTTACAGCCCCGCTCTTGGGGGACGGGAAGGCCGTGGCCCGTCAGGACCTCGGTTTTACGGCTTGTTCGAAAGGTGCCCCCCTCTCCCCCGCAGCATCTATGATGGCAGCGGTATGGCCACCCCTACCACACTGGGTGATTCCGGGGTGTCCGAGCCAAGTACCAACCGGGCCTGGCCCTACCTAGCTACTGCAACCCGAGGCAAATCACCGCACCCGGAGGGATGCGTGCAGGACAGATCCCTTATCTCTCCACGTAATAAGCCAGAGGTTAGCTAGGGCTCTCGGGAACAGCCGGAGCCAACACCTGCTCAGCCCTCGTGCTTCGTCGGCAGCGGCAGGAGGGAGCTTTAGTTTCCCCAGCCAAGTGCTGGAAGTTGGAAGGCCGGGCTTGTGGTGAGGTCCCCGGGCTAGGACCCAGGAAACCTGGTGGCCAGTTCTGCCACTGACCCTCCATGTGGCCTTAGGCAAGTCCCTTCAATGGCTCTGTGCCTCAGCCCTGGCCCTGTGAACTGGCAATCGGCTGCCCTGAGTGCACGGGGGCTGGGAGGATAAAATGAACGGATAGCAGAGGTGCTCCGATAGGTACCGGCGGGGGGTCTACAGACGCACCGAGCTGAGAGCCCCCCGAATTCCCAGCCAACAAGCCATGCCATGCCCCCAAGGACACTCACCAGCACGTCCGGGGAGCCCTGCGTGATGAAGGAATGGGCCTGGTTCTTGGGGACCACAGCCTGCACCAGCGGGACCCCGTCGCTGATCCCCTGCGGGAGAGAACAGAGAGCTCCGGTGCTGCTGCAAGACAGCTCGGGGGCTACGCCCTGCCACGGCCCCGCCAGCACGCGCACGTTGCGTTAGCGCTGGGCATTATCGGGTGTTTGTAGGGCCTCGGCGCCCCAGTCACGGACCGGGACAAGGTCGTGCTAGGCGCTGGACAGACACACCAGAGAGTCCCTGCCCCAAAGAGCTAGGTAACCGCATGATCTCTCTGGAACTCGTGTCCTCCCTCACCCCATACCTCCCCCTCCGGCCATTGCCACCCCATCACTCGCCCCCCTTCCCCCCCTCACGCGCCCCTCCCTCCCTCCCTCCCCAGCACGTGGGAGGATTCCCTCGTAAGCTCTCCCGGGCAGGGTCCGCAGCTCTGGCCAGCCCCGCCCTCGGAGCCCAGCGGCGAGGAGAGCTCTCACCTCGACGAAGAAGGACTTGAGCTGGTCGAGGTTCTCGAAGACGTTGGGGGAGTACGTGTCGAGCCGGGCCAGCCTCCTGGCGGCGTTTTCGGCCGAGAGGCGCACTGGGTGAGGTTCCTGCCGGGGAGGGGGGGAGACACCAGCAAGTCAGGAGGTGCCAGATCCTTGCCCCGAGCGAGATCCCAGAGCCCAGCCTCCCGGGAAGAGAGAGGAAGCAGAGGGCAAAAGGACCCAGGGGTGGGGGGTCGCCGTACATGGACCTAAGCCCTGGCCGAGGGAGTGGAGCTCTGCTCTCAGGGCCTGTTGGGGGATCCCCACCTTCCCCTCCCCGGGGGTTAGCCGGGTGCGCCCTCTCCGGCTCCCGATACCTTGAGCAGCTGGCAGGGGGTCTGCCCGAAGTTGCTGATGATGCCTTCCAAAGCCTTCCTCTGCGTCTCGTCAGCAATGGCGTCCAGGTCCACGGCCCCTGGGTGTATCATAGAATCGTAGAATATCAGGGTTGGAAGGGACCTCAGGAGGTCATCTAGTCCAACCCCCTGCTCAAAGCAGGACCAACACCAACTAAATCATCCCAGCCAGGGCTTTGTCAAGCCGGGCCTTAAAAACCTCTAAAGAAGGAGATTTCACCACCTCCCTAGGAAACCCATTCCAGTGCTGGTAACATGGATTTGGGGACAAAATTGTTTTGTCCTTTATAATAAGGTTACTTGATGAAATTGTTTTAATGTAAGTTTATACATTAATGTTTTATACTAATTTAGTAACATTTGAGATTGCTCTGCTCTGCCTTGACGGAATTGTTTTGTTCTGTGAAAAGTTGGTTTTTGAAATTATTGTCCTGTTCTGTGTGTGAATAAGTATGTGTGAAATGTAAATAAATAAATAAAAAAAACACGCCAGTAAACCACAAAAGGGGGGTGAAGAAACAAGATGCCAGCGTCGTCATCCTGAGACCCTGATGGCTGGATGAGAGTGCAGAGTGACGACCCTAAAGTGCAAGGGCATCCGCCCTAAATTAAGAACAGGATACGAAATAAGGAACTGGAAAATAGCTGTGAAAACCACATGCTAATGATGAAAGAGAAACTGCGAAAACAACTAGTTTGTGATCAATAATTCAAGCATGACACAGCAGGGTTCATAGGCGTACCTGAGGATCTGTTGCTATAAAACATAGGTGAGAGTCGAGGGGCTTTGGGTTCGTCCTGCCAAGGCTTCCCCCGGAGCATCGCGTCGCGACAGACAGAACCCGGCTCCTCCCTACCTTGATCCATCTAGCTGGTCAGTAGATTGATCCGGACCCTGGACTGGTAACTAGAACATCGCCTGGCAGGGCAGTGTGTGTGTTTCTGTGAGCATATGCCTGCTGCTTTCCTATTGTATTCTTAATAAACGCGGCGTATTGCCTTATCCCCTAAAAAAGATCCTGTGTGCCTCTTATAAGCTAACATAGGGAGCAAGAGAGGGGGGGCGCTGTGAGTGACAGGCGCTCACCAGGGAACCGCCCTGCCTGGCCGGTGCCTCTTACCCTCGTACGTGCAGTAATAGAAGACGTTGAGCGCCTCCACGGCGGCCGGGCCCCTCTGCTTGTACCCGAAGATCAGGTCGATCCACTCGTGGAGGTGGGCAGACACGTGCTCCGACTCCTGGTCCAGGGAGAGAACGGGGACGTTCGGCACCACGGGGACACACCAGGCTGGGGACGCCCCAGTCGGTCTGGGCCGCCTCTTAGGGAAACCCCAGGCCCCCGCCCTACAAGCTGGGGGAGCAGTGAGTTTGGCAGGCCAGGTGACGGCTTCGCGGGCCGGGCGGAGCCCCCTGCCCACTTACCAGCGCTTTCCGGTGCTTGTGGACGAAATCCTCCGGGGATCTGGCCCACTTCGGGAGGACGACGTCATTCACCTGGTCGTTCGACATCTGCAGGCAGCCCAGGTCGAACCCTAGGGAAGGCAACACAAGCAGAGTGGCTCACCATCCCTCGGCACGGGGTCCGATCAACGGCCCCCCAGCCCCGGGGCCAACACCGGCTCATGCTGGATGCTATAACCTCGCTGCCCCATGCTATAACCGAGCAGGGCGGGGAATCCGGAGGATCCCAGGAGATCATGCGCCAGCCGTGGCATGTCTGCCAGGCACCAGCTCCATGCAGGGCAAAATTAGCTCCCCCGGAGCTCAGCCTGCGTCCCAGCTCTGTCTAGAGCCCAGTAACCATGCGCACAGAGCCCTGGGGCACCCAACATGCTCCAGCCCCCGCTGGCTTGGGCACTCCACCCTGCATGAGCCAGTGAGCCCGGGCGCCAGCATGCCCAGTGGCTAGAGACAAGGACTGAGAGTCACTGCGACGATTGCGAGAGATCAACTAGAGTCACAGAACGCATCCTGCCCCTTAAATGGAGGCCCCAAGTAGGTACCTCCCCATGCCAACCCCAGCGCGCCTCTCTCCCCCGGCTCTAGACGCAGGGCACTCCGGCCGGCCGTGCCGCGATGCCCCAGGAGCTCCCGTTACCGTTCTGGTTCTCCAGGAAGTCTGTGAAATAGAAGAACTCCGGGATCAGCTCCTTCACGTCCACCGGGTTCTCCATGCGCGCCTGCCAGGCCGCGGGCACCGAGTGAAACTGGCGGTCCGAGCAGTCAAACCTGCCGGCAAGAGGGGTTGGCAAGAGAGTGAGGTCAGCTCCACCACTGACCCTTCGCGTGGCTGTGCCGCAGCTCCCTAGCTCGAAGACGGAAGGAGCCTGACTGTCTCTTGCTAGATACCTGTCCAGCACCAAGCACCACAGACCCCTGATCTCGGTGGGGGTTTCTAGGCTCTAGAGCAATACAATCAATAACGCGTAGATTTTCCTGTCTTCCAGCGAGCTCCCGGGTTTACCGTATGGTCTGAAGAAATCAGCCTCGTCAGTCAAATCACTGTATCCCTAGCCCTCTCGCCTTCTTTGTGCCGGATAACGCTCATGAGTCACCCAGCCACAGTGGGATACAGGGCCGGCCAAACCCTCTTTCTGCTTTATCAACTCAGAGGCCAGGCTCAGAATCGGCTCTACGACACTAATAAAGAATATCTAGCGCTTTCATCAGCAGATCTCTGAGCGCTTCACAGAGGTACCATCCCCATTGTACAGCTGGGGAAACTGAGGCACAGCACCGGGAAGTGACTTGCCCAAGGTCACCAGCAGAGCTAGGAATAAACCCCAGCTCTCCTGAGCCTGGAGATCTATTCACTAGGCCACACTTCCTTGCAGAGACACACAGAAGGTAGGGAAGAGGCTCCTCCCTCACTCGGACGCAAGGAACGTTTAAGAACGAGCCATGGGAAAGGATTCCCCCACCAGCGAGCGCTCAGGCTGCGGATCAGTCTCCCAGGGGACAGTTAGAACGAGCGCGAGGGGAGATGGCGATCCTGCGTTAGCAGGGCCTGGAGAAGCGAGCAGGACCGTCCTGCCACGCCGGTGCTAGCCCAGCCCCGGGACTCACCGGCCGCTCTGCAACTGGATGTGAAGGGTGGTGAAGGGCTCGGTCCGGATCATGTAGTGCATGACGCCCGCCGCGTTGGAGTAGTGTGTGCCGTAGTGAAACTTGTCGATCATGCCCGTGGGGTCCTCAAAACTCTCGTACCTGGGGACAGAGAGGGGAGGGGAATGAACAGAGAGCGCCACCGAGACACAGACGGTGGTGGGGGGAAGGAGGAGGAGGAGGAGGAAGGGAATCCCAGCGGTGAGGCCGGAGTGACTTGCAACGCAGCTCTTGCCTTGGCCGGGCTGGTTTGCCGGCATGTGCTGCAATAGCCGGAGCGATTGCATCAGGAAGAGAAGACTGGCACCTGAGAGGGAACAGCCTTCTTCCCAGCACGCCCCCACCCACCTTGCTGCTCGGCGGCTCAGGGCCTCTCTCCAGCCATGGAGCAGAGTGCAGGGCGAACTCCCCTGCCCACACACCTCTCAGCCTTTTCTAGGCATGAGACGATTGCTCCGCCTCCACAGAGCAAATGGGAACGGGAGGCATCAGTGATCTGCCAGCCACCCCGGACTCTAGGCCTTCGCTACCCCACGTGCTGGGGTCAGACTACTACATCCAGGGCACACCACCGGCTCTCGCCGGCCACCGTGACGCTCCGATGTCAGCCCCCCTTCCCAGCCACCAGTCCCAGAACCCGGGATGTGCACTCACTTCTCCTTCACGTCCTTGGCGTGTCTCTCGTTGGCCACCCCGATGGGTTTGGAGAGATCCCGGAACACGTCCGGGTCGCTCAGGTCCAGCGTCTCGGAGACGTAGTCCTGCAGGATCCAAGGGAACTACGGAGGAGAGAGGCCAGTCAGATGCCTGCCAACTCCTTACCCGGCCCGGCCTGTCGCGGGGCCTTCAAACCCTAGTGCCGCCCACGGCCAGACAGACAACAGGGAAGTGGCAGAATGGGCAGTTTTCCCCAGGAGCACTGGGCTCAGCCGTGCTCCTGGGGCGGGCTGGGTTGGCCCATTGGGCCTTCCAGACTCTTACAGGGGGAGACATTCTCGATCCACTGGGAGAGCTAGGAGGACACTATAAGTAGGAGCATTGCCAGCAGATCGAGGGATGTGATCATTCCCCTCTATTCGGCACTGGTGAGGCCTCATCTGGAGTATTGCGTCCAGTTTTGGGCCCCCCCACACTATAAGAAGGATGTGGAAAAATTGGAAAGAGTCCAGCGGAGGGCAACAAAAATGATTAGGGGGCTGGAGCACATGACTTATGAGGAGAGGCTGAGGGAACTGGGATTGTTTAGTCTGCAGAAGAGAAGAATGAGGGGGGATTTGATAGCTGCTTTCAACTACCTGAAAGGGGGTTCCAAAGAGGATGGATCTAGACTGTTCTCAGTGGTACCAGATGACAAAACAAGGAGTAATGGTCTCAAGTTGCAGTGGAGGAGGTTTAGGTTGGATATTAGGAAAAACTTTTTCACTAGGAGGGTGGTGAAGCACTGGAATGGGTTACCTAGGGAGGTGGTGGAATCTCCTTCCTTAGAGGTTTTTAAGGCCCGGCTTGACAAAGCCCTGGCTGGGATGATTTAGTTGGGGATTGGTCCTGCTTTGAGCAGGGGGTTGGACTAGATGACCTCCTGAGGTCCCTTCCAACCCTGATCTTCTATGATTCTATGGCTGAGCTCTGCATTACGAGGGGGTGAGGCTGGGCAGCTCTAATTTTACTCTCTCCCCCACAGCAGGTAAGGTCCTTGGAGAGGCCTGGTCATATCTATAGGTTCGTACAGCCCCTAGCGCAAAGACGCCCCCACCCGGCTGGCCTGTAGGTGCCACCCCACCGCAGCTGTGATTTAAAGGGTTCTGACAGGATCGATCAATGCAGGTGCAGTACAGGTGGTCAGCAGCATCACCGGGTGCTAGAGACGGCTGGGAGTGACCTAGCACCCGCTGGGCTCTATCGCGCTTCGTTAGCCAATCATTAACGCCTCGACCGATCCCTTCATAACCCTGTGGAAAGCACGCAGGGAGCGTCCCTGCAACGTGAAGGGTGGCTGGCGAATAACCCGTCACCAGGCTAGTGAGAGCCGGACTCGGGTCGAGGACACGCTGCCGGCCCAGGGAGGGAGCGTGGAGACCAGACGACTACCCGGGAAGGAATGTCGCGGGGGCGCTCTGAGCACCCCGTCTCTGTTCGCCCGCCGGCCCCAGGACAGATCGCTGACCGTGGCTCTGGGCGGAGGAAGGTTGAGGGGAAGGGCCCGGCGGGCATGCTCACCACGGGGTACTGCGACAGGTCGTTGTACGTGCGCCCGGCGATCGTGTTCAGCTGCATCAGGTACTCGAAGTTGGAGATCTCCCTGTAGACCCATTTCTGAAACAGACATGGCGGGGCTGAAACAGGCTCTGCGGACGGCAGGGGTAGTGGGGGCGGCCCTGGCTGCGTGAGTGGGAGGGGAGTCGCTGCATGGGGCGGTAGCATAGGGTGACCATATTTTCCAAAAGAGACAACGGGACACCCCATAGGGCCGGCCCAAGGCCCCCTCTCACCCATCCCATGGGTCAGCCCAAGCCCCCTGCCACCCACCCATACAAGGCAAGCCCGGAGCAGACTCTGCAGGGAGGGGGATGGGAGTCACCACGCTGGGGGTGGGGGAGGACCCTCTTGGGGAGCAGCACAGACACAGGTTGCTAGAAAGTCAGGCTTCACAGGGAAACTCACCCAATGGATTCTCCCCACCCCGCCGTCACACCCCAGTGGCCTGCACCTGCGGGAGGCCATGCTAGCAGCAGCCCACACCTGAGCTCCCCCTCGGGCTATTTAACCCCTCAGGTGCCCACTCTGCCCCGGAGCACGATGACCCGCACCGGGAGTGTGACCCCGCAGGGGGCGGCACTCACTTTCCCCCTGCGACACCCTGAGCGACCCAAGCCCAAGTGCTCGATCTCCCAGCGAGCCAGGGCCGGGGCCTCTCCCACTGCAGGGCTGGCCTCACGGCCCGGACCACGCCCTGAATGAAGTGCCAGCCCGGGCGGATCTCAGAACCATGACCCAGCTGGGCACAGCTGACAAGCCCTGCTCCCAGGGGCCCAGGGCTGGGACAGAAGGGTGGGCCCCGGGAGCTCTGGCAGAGCCGGGAGGCTGGGGGGAGTTTGCCCGGCACTCTGCCTGGCTACGAGGCAGCCCCGAGGGACACACTCCTCTCTCGAGGATAGAGAGATGAAGCGGGGAGGAGGTGGCTGGAAGAAGATGCTAACGGCACCTGAGTCAGTCCTGAGGCCTTCAGAAGCTCCTGGGGTGACCGGCTGCCGAAGTAGATCTGGTTGGACGGGCGCAGGCCCAGAATACAGGAATACACCTTATTTCTAACCTGCAGGGACAAAACCAGGTGCATGAAGCATTCAGGGGAGCACACGTACAGCGTCCAGCCTGCCCTTGAACAAGGCTTTGCATTGCTAGAGCACCTCTCCCCCAGGGCCTCAAAGCACTTGCCCCAGGGGGTGGGGGAATCAGGCTCCATCTCCATTTTACAGATGGGGAAACTGAGGCACAGAGGGGCGGTGACTTGCCCCGGTCAGACACTGGAAGCCGACAGAATCCAGCTCTCCCGATGCCCTGCTCTAGCAAAAAGACAACCATGCCTCTCCGTGAGATCTGGCCTGCTCTTCCAGTAGGGGGGCAGTAGGGGCTGGGAGAGCCCTACATGGACAAACCACGTGAAAGAGACAGCCGTCCAAGGGCCAGCCCCCCCCCGGTATAAATCAGCAATGAAATCAAGGGCCCCACGCTGATTTACATCAGCAAAAGGTCCGGTCTAAGGAATTCAATCCTAAATCAAACGCATGTGCAATTCCCTCCTTAACAAGGCTCCGGAACACGCTGGCCGGGCGCGGCTCCCCTGAGTTCTCCATGTGGGGATGGGGGCTGGAAAAGCTGGGGGAGCTGGGAGTGCTACGGGATCACCCCCCCCCCATCCCAGTACCATACCACCCTTCTCCTGGCTGAGCTCCGCCCACTTTAGAAGCTCTGTATGAAGGGCCACTTTGCCCATCACCCTGCGTCAGGCCTCTTGCACCAGCGACGCTCGACTTCCTGTCTTATCCCCCACTCCGATCAAAGCCCCCCCCGTTTGAATTCAGGTCACTGGAGCATGATTCCTCAGATGGCAACGTGCCCCAGGCTCTGACCACATGGGGCCAGGACCTTGCTTTGGGTCTCCAACATAGCCCCATCGGCAGCCCAGCGCCTCCCAGGGGTCTGGGCTGGGCACCAACGCTCCAGGAAGGGTGCGCCACTGGCTTCCCAAGAGAAGCGGGGGCGGCCCCCGGGGCCGGGTAGTGGCCCCTGTCTAGGAGAGCAGAGGGGATCAGGGCGAACCTTCTTCCTGAAGTTGACAAAGTAGTTGGCCTGGTCGATGAAGAAGAACTCCAGCGCCGACCGGCGGAGGTTGTAACGGCGGAGGTGCACTTCCCGGAGCTGAGACAGGGGGCGCTTGAAGTCATAACCGATCCCTGGGGAAAGGGCAGAAGGCAGGCCAGCTGTTACTCCCCATCCTATACCCAGGTACCTCCATAGCTGGACAGCTCCCAGCGCCGCGGGGGCCACCCTGATCCTAGACACTGACCCATCTCAGCCAGCAATTGTCACACCGGGGAGACCCAGCGTAGGCTTCCAGGCTCCGGGTAGTGGCCAGCCCTCACCCGCTCCCCCACGTCACATCTCGGGACTGAGCTCAGCGCTGGGCTAACCTCCAAGCCAAGCTAGCCTCGCGGTTAATGCACTGGACTGGGACTCAGGAGATCTGGGCTCAATTCCCAGCTGCACCACAGACTCCCAGCATGCCCTGGGGCAAGTCACTTAACCCCCGTGTCTCAGTTTCCCATCTTCTGCCTGAGTCCCCTTCGTCCGTGAGGTCTTCAGGGCAGGGACATCCAGCGCCTAGCAGCATGGGCCAATAGGTGCTACTCTCATGCAATGCTAGTAACGAGATTAACGAGTAATCTGACAGCAGCACGGCAGGGAGAGGATGGGGCGGGTAGCCTCCGGTATCAGAGGCTGCGACGCAGGGCAGGAGACGGGCGGGCACGGGCGAGCTCCGGTACCTTCCTCCGTCTCCTCCTTCTCGCTGCTGCAGTCGTAAAAGTAGATGTGCTGCGTGGTGACCTCCAGCCGGCCCTGGATCACAGCCACGATGGTGATGAGCTCGCAGTCCTCGGAGATCACCAGCTTCTCCCTCTGGCTCTGCTCTTTGGGTTCAGCCCTGGAAGAGATCGGGGCGGCAGAGCACTGATGAGTACGGTGTCCCGCCTGCGCGCACCCCTCTTACGGCCCACGGCCTCCATCCCAACACACAGTTGTCCAATACGGAGCGTGGGACTGGCTGGTTAGAGAACAGAGGCCGCCTTTAGCGTCCCATGGTGGCCTGGGCCGTACGCCCCACCGCGTGCTCTGCTCCCAGCAATGGTAGCGGATATCTATACTATAATTTAATTGATGGAGATATCCCACCTCCTAGAACTGGAAGGGACCTTGAAGGGTCATCGAGTCCAGCCCCCTGCCTTCACTAGCAGGACCAAGTAGTGATTTTGCCCTAGATCCCCAAGTGGCCCTCTCAAGGATTGAACTCACAACTCTGGGTTTAGCAGGCCAATGCTCAAACCACTGAGCTATCCCTCCCCCCTAGGCGCCCACTGGCCTTAGCGTGACGCTCTCTGCTGCTCAGCCAATCCTGGGCAGCGTGGCGACTCTCCCTGCACCCTCGCCAGGGAAAAACCTACCATCTTCCAGGAGTACCAGCTTGAGCGGTGTGCAGAGCGCCTCTGGCCACTGCAGTCCCAAGAAGGAACTGGGAGGGGTCTGCACTTGTTAGCTTGGAGAAGGGTGAGATGGGGCCAGGGCCCAGGCAGGCGAAGGGGGATGGATGGCTCGGGGAACATGGAAGAGGATATAGCGCCTCTCACCTCTTCCAACTATATTGTGCTAGTGGCCAGAGGTCCCAGTCAGGATCGGGGCCCTGCTCTATTAGACATGGGGGGATGTGGTCTCTGTCCCACGCTGCTCACAATGTAAAGGCTGCGGGTTCAAATCCCGCCTGTGACAGTCCCGGACCAAGAGCTGTTCCCGGGCGATGGCTGTTTGAAGGCCGTGACTGGCCCCCTGTTGATGATCTCAGCAGAAAAGCCACAGACTATTGGCCAGGAAGTCCGAACTGCCCCCTCCCCGAGAAGGGGACCACGTGGGGTGACTCCGAGACACACGGGCAGACTCAGACGCAAGCCTCCGAGGCAACGTATCCCTCCCGCTGCAGGACACGCTTCGTTCCTGAGCCCAGCAAGGGCCCGAACGGCAACCCAGGGCACGGACCCGCCCGGGAGAGACTCACTGATTGTCCAAGAACTCGAGGTCTTCCTCCGCCAGCTGATCATCCTCCAGCTCGCTCACCTTCGCCTCCTTGGCCACGGCCAGCGGCAGAGGCTCCGCAGGGGTGTGAGAATGATCCGCGCCTGAAACGGACGGAGACTAAACTGGAGACGCCAGGCTGAGCACGGCTCCTGGACAGTCGTCCCGGGGCTCTGCGGCTGAGGGGCCCTGATCTAGGTTTTATTTCCGCAGGCAGAGGTGGGGGTCAGGCCTCACTCCCTCCAAAATGTACATTAAATCCCTCTACGTGAAAATGTAACCCAGGCCTGCTCGGTGTGGCGCTCTGTCCCCCTCTAGTGGCACCTAGCCCAGCTACAGATCCAAGAGCCTGCTACAACCTTGCCAAAGAGGCAGTTGGCTTTTAGCTCATGCAGTAGAGGCTCATACACCAAGCTTCAGAGGTCCCAGGTTCGATCCCGCCCACGGGGTCTGCCGGCGTTACAGCTGTCTGCACATCAGTGAGCTGGCAGAGCCAGGCTCTGACCCACGCGCACGGGCCCCATCCCCACGCCGCGAGCCCCGCTCACCTAGGTTGTCCCGGAGGGCACTAGCCTCCACATGGCGGTCGAAGTGATAGTTGGGGACCAGCTTCAGCCTCATTCGGGAGTAGGTCTCGGCACTCGACAGCTTCCAGCGAATCTCTGGGGGGTTTCTGCGGGGGAGGGGGAGAGAAAAGTGAGCCCCGAGCACCCCAAAGCTGGGAACTGGACAGGGGGCAGCTGGAGTCAGCATGGGGCAATGCCACCTGATCCACAGAACAGCCTGGGCTCACGAGGCGTTGGCTGAGGGAGCCCCCCCTTGCTGCAGGGACTACGAGGACTGTAGACTGAGCAGAGGACCTGCCGGACCAGGGCCCATCCGCCTCAGAGTGGCCACAGGGGAGTTTCTGCCACACCCCATCAGCCTGGGAGCCACGGGGCAGAGAGGAGGAGGCAGTGTGAAACTAGCCCGGCGGAGAGGGGCACAGAAAACGTGGGAGAGCCAGGAACAGCTGTAAGCCACACTGCCTGGTTCCACCCGGGGGAGGCGTGGCTTTGCCACAGTGGGCGGGGCTAACACCTGGGCTCTTTCTTTTCTGTCTGACTTTGGTCAGTCTTCCGGCGGCCGGCCCACAAGCGGGCAGGGCACAGCGGGACATGGCCGCGGCACGCTCCGGGGCTCTGAAATCGCCCCCCGCGAGGGGCAGGAAGCCAGGCTAGGATCACAGCGCGGGATTCCTGGGGGCGGGCGGACAATGATACTCCTAACCCCGGAGGATCCAGCAGCCCCAACCGTGGGCTGCCCCATAAGCGCTGAACTGGAGGGGGCCCTGGGCAGCATCCCCTCCCCCTGCCCAAAGGGAGCGCTATCTCCTGACCGGTCGGCCCAGGCGGAGCGCTGTGAGGTCAGCAGGCGGCGCAGGGCCTTCCACTGCTTCAGGACGCCGCTGTGGTGGTTGTTGATCTGCTTCAGGACGTTCACGTGCCGGATGTGCTCGTACCTGGAGCGCTTCATCACTGGTTCCAGAATCAGGTCCTGGCGGGGGCAGAGAATGAGGCGGGACTGTGGGGCGGGCAGGAAAGGGGGCAACCACCCGGGTCTCCCCCGGGAGGAGACTCCGCAGCAGAGATTAGGGTTTTGCGGAAAGACGCGCCAGGAGGCGACACCCGGCACGGGCCATTTCAGCCCCCGGGGTTTGTGTGTGGCCGAGTGATATCGGCTGTATTTTGTGGAGCCCGAGGCATCGACTGGACAACAGGGGTGTGTGTGTGTGTGTGTGTGTGTGTGTGTGTGTGTGTGTGTGTGTGTGTGTGTGTGTGTGTGTGTGTGTGTGTGTGTGTGTGTGTGTGTGTGTGTGTGTTCGTTCAAACAGCTGAGCGCCCGTACCTGGAACTTCTTCCTGCTCTCCTCTTTCTCCCGCTCCCTGCGCAGGGAGCTGCTCATCAAGGCATCGTAGCAGGAGTTCCAGAAATTGGACATGTGGTCGTGACTCTTGGCGAACGTGTCGATTTCAAACTGCGCCATCATGGGCTGTACCTGCCAAGGGGATGCAGGGGAGAGAGCCCTTGAACGGCGGTGGCCCGGACGGGCGGGCGAGGACGTATTTTCGGGGACGCTGCCTTAGAACAGGACGAGGTCTAGCAGCGAGCGTGCAGGACTGGGAGGCCAGGAACTCCCAGCTGAGGTGTGGATTTCACTGCATGACCCTGGGTAGGTCATATGATCCTTGCCTCAGTTTCCCCATCTGTAATCTACTCTTCAGGTGAATGCATCCCCTCTCCCACTCCCCCCCAAAAAATCACTGCAGTGTCTGAGCACTTTATCCTCAACTCCCTGGCAAGCTACATAAATACTGTCCCCCCCCCGCCATTTACCATACGGGGCGAGTGAGGCAGGTGTAACGGGACTTGGCTCGGGCAGTCTCAGAGCTGGGACAGCTCCTAGCCCTGCTCAGACCCAGCTCAGCCCCGCCCATGCCCACTCTCCCGACAACCCCCTCCCCTTGGTTCAGGGCTTGGCTGTCGGCATCCGTGGCTGAGCGTGTCGACCGAAGCGGCTCCCCACGGACATGCACAGCACCACAGCCAGAGGCAGGGACAGAGCCCACGTCTGACGCAGCCACGTGGCCCAGCGTCCCGCGGGGACACATGGAGACAGGAAATGCGTCTAGGGCCCCGTCTGATGGGTGTTCCCCCCCGCTCTATCCGCTCAGTGCTCCCTCCTCCCGCAATGGTAATCAGCGCCCCCCCCCGGTCTCGGCGGCACCCACGTGCTTCTCGATGAAGGCCCTCCACTCGGGGGTGGTGCAGAAGAGCTGGAAGTCCTCGTAGAAGGTGGGGCTGCCGTTGGTGGGGGGCAGCGAGGGCAGCCAGCGCTGCAGCTGCAGCGTGTCGTAGCACTGGTCCAGCAGCGTGCGGATGATGGGCAGGAGCCAGGAGAAGGCCTCCGACTTGGGGTGCAGCGCGCGGCTCAGGGGGCTCTCCAGCTTGCCCAGCAGGTAGCAGGCCTCCTCCTCCTTGGGGGCCGAGGCCGTCTGGAGCAGGCCGTGGAGCTTGACATAGGCCAGCGAGTGCAGCTGCGGGGCACAGGGGGGGGGGGGGGCATGGGAGAGGCTGTTACACCCCAGGCTCATCCCAGCATATGGGGGCGGGAGAACTACTACGGTTTTGGGGCCCTCAGAGGCCTCTTCCCTGCCCCCCACTCGATCCCCCCACTTCCCTTCAGAGCCCAGCCCCGCCCCCCGGCCAGCTGATACAGCCCCCCTCACTTCCCTTCAGAGCCCAGCCCCTCCCCGCAGAGAGAAGGGGAGCCCTCAGGGTGACCCAAACGAGGACAGTCGGGGTCCCTAGCCTCCTGGGCCTTGGAGGGGCTGCCCCCGGGCCGGCTCACCTGCGCCTCCTCCAGCCCGCTGTACCCGACGAGGACACGCAGGCCGATCTGAGCCATCTCCTTCAGGTCCGAGGTCCCGTTGGCCAAGTGGTACCACACGCCCAGCTTGTCCAGCAGGCTGTTCACCCCCTCGTAGATCTGCAGCCACAGGAAGGGCAGAGTGACCCCTCCCGGCAAGGACAGCGACGGAGCTCCCCCTCCCAGCCCCCGCGCTTTGCTTCCCCGGCCTAAGGGAACAGGCATCGTCCAGGGGGGCTGCGCCTGAAGCCCAGGCTGGGGTATTTAACGGGGGAGCCAGCTGCAAAGCAGTGACCCCGAAAGGAGGGCAGCCAATGAACCGCGGCAGGCGGGAAAGAGAGAGACCCACGGCTCTCCTGCGGCTGTCACGGCAGCACACGCCCAGCAGCCGACGAGCCCCCTGCGCGTCAGCACTCCGCTACCCCAGGGAGCAGAGCGGCAAGACCACCTTCACCCCCCAGGCCCGCCAGGGCACCCGCGCGGACCTTCTCGCTCCACAGTGCCTGGTTGTTATGTCCCTCGGAAAACAAGAAGTCCTGGAGAAGTCTCAGCAACTTGAGCACGTTCTGGGTGAGGCTGGGCAAAGTGGCCGGGGCCGACTCCTTGATGTCCGTGAAGGCCGATTCCAACATCATCTCCAGGAGGCTGCGAGAGAGACAGGGAGTGTGTGTGTGTGTGCGCGCGGGTCAGGCATCCGATGGCACCGCCTGCTCTAGAGAATAACCCACTCATCCTCCCGCGCCGAGCGGGGGACTCCAGGCATCCCCAGACGCTGACCACGCTGCTAGCAGCTGCCGGATATCGTGTTGGTCACGCCTCTCTCTCTTCGGGATCCCCATTCATATAGTCTCTGAGCGCTTCAAAATCCTCCACCCCCTGCCTGGTGTTACAGATGGGGGGCTAAGGGACATGCCCAAGGTCCCACAGGCAGGCGGCGGCAGAGATGGGAACTCAACTCACGTCTCACAAGTCCCAGGCCAGCAAACCAGCCGCGGGAAGCAGGTGCCCAAGACCAAAGTTTCTCTGCCAAGCACCCGTCCCTCCGGGGAGCGTTTCAGGGGCACGCGCTCTGCAGCGCCCCAACCCGGGATTACCCTGGCCTCTGACACTCATGAACCGGCTGGGAAGCTCCTTATTTCAAGGAGACAGAGGGGCATCTGTACAAGGGAAAAGCCACTAACCCAAGTGTAATGCATTTGGGGGGTGGGGAGGGGCCTACTCCTGATGAGTGCGGGGACATCATGAAATGCATGAGATGCCCAAGACTGGATGAGAAAGGACAGGTCAGGAGGGAGGGGGCACTGGCAGAGCTGGAGCGGGCGAGGGCCACAGCTGGGATCGCAGGGGGCTGTGGGTCTGGAGCGAGGGGCCCAGCCCCGGCTGGGCATGGGGACGCAGGGCTGTGACGGCGTGAGCCTGCTGGCTGGGAGCAAAGGACATAGGGGCGCAGGGCTGGACAAGCAGGGGGGTTACTAGCCAGGACAGCTACCTTGGGTAATGAATGCGTCACTTTCACAAGCCCACGCCCTCCAAGGTGAAAATGGGGGAGAGAAATGGGCAGGCGTGGGGGCGGGGCAGGACTCTGGCTGTGTAGGGGTAAAATGAAGCAGCTCCATTGGCCGACATGTGGGCCCAATTCTGATCCTATTTCTCCACCTCCCAAACCCCTCCCCCAAGCTGGCCAGAACCCACCAGGCTGGCCGCTCTGCCAGCACTCACCTGCGCTTGATCTCGTCTGGCGGCCGCACCAGCTCGCAGGCTGTGCCCAGCTTGGTGAGGACGGAGAAGACCTGCCCGCGCTCCTTCCAGGCCGCGTCGTCCCAGCCCTCCACCCCGCGCCAGGTCACCGAGAAGATGATGTTGGTGAGCAGGTTGCACAGCTCCTCCTCCGGTGTTTGCTGAGATGGGGGGAGAGCCGGAAAACACATGCTGATCTGAGCAGCTGGTCCGCTTCCCATGGGCTTCTCCTAAAGGGGATGGCTGACGCAGTGCCCCCTGGTGGAGACAACTCCCCTGCTCAGACATGATGGGGGTGGGATCAGGAGTGGGGCGTCTGGGGACAGAGTGCTGGCGTTAGAGGGCCCTGACTCAAGGATCTCTTGATGCCAACTGGCAGAGGGCACCAGGGGGCACAGGGGTTACAGGGATTCCCTGGGTCCAGTGCGTTCCTATGTAGATAGCGAAGAGCGTCATGTACAGCCTCCGTCACACCGGGCAGCAGAACCTTTAGGAACCGTGGGTGCAGATAACACGCAAGGAGACGTGTGTCTAGACAGGAAAGTTTGTTCTTAAAGACTTGGCGTTAACGGACATGTCTTAAGACAGGTCCCGCTGGAGCGAAGAGACTTCGCTCCCTGCCTTACTGTTGCATCCTGTGCATCTCGGAGTGGGTGGCTGTTTGCACAGAATCAAATGCTGATGAACAGACGGTGGGGACTTGAGGGGAAAAAAATTAACAGGAAGGGGTGAACGGCGGGGAGCGGGGAGAAACTGGTTTACAGGTGAACAACAAAAGGCTGGTCTAGTGCATCTAGGGGTGCAGAGATACCCTGGCCTCCTTCATCTGGAGAGGCCAGCTGCCAACGGGCATGGTCTTGTACGGCGACCGGATGTCCCCATTTTATAGGGACAGTCCCGATATTTGGGGCTTTTTCTTATATAGGTGCCCATTACCCCCCACCCCCGTCCCGATTTTTCACACTTGCTGTCTGGTCACCCTACGGTCTTGTGAAAGGCGGGTGTCGGTAAAAGGTGCTGCAAGGAGGACTGGACGGTGAGCAGAACTTTCTTAGATGGGGGGCATCCGGTTAGTGGAACATGGGCTCCAGCAGGCATGTTTTACGTCTCACCCTGTGTTTCCGCTGTTTCTGGGGGCTACCACCTAAATCCCTGCTCTGGGGTAAATCCGCTCCCGCTTGCGATCTGTTCCTAGAGAAAGCAGCGCTGTGCACGACGCAGAGCTGCGTTCTACGGTGGGACAAATAACCGGGCTGGGCTTTGGGGACAGCAGGGCCAGTAATTCTGAGAGCGTCCAGTGGGCCAGACATCGCAGGGGGACACTCGGGGGTTGGCATGTGCCTATTGCTAGCGGCAAAGGGACGACACCAAGCCTGGGAGAGAAGCAAACCCCTTCTACTACAGACAGCGGCACCATCGCTCATCCACTGCTGCCGGCTCCCCTCTGGGGGGCAGCGGGAGAGCGGCTCCTTTGCCAGCCCTCGGGGGGCAGCACCTTACCTGGGGGTTACTGGTATTGGAGACGTCGTCGCTGGCCAGCGTCTCCTGGTAGCTGCTTTCGTCCAGGACGTTGGAGAGGCTGGAGCTTTTGCGAGCCCGCATGCCCGGGAAAGGTTTGAAGTACTCCAGAGGGGAGGGGGTCCCCGGCAAGCTCCCCGGTGTCTGGTTGCCGCTCTCCACCGTGGCGGTGGAGCAGGTGCTGGCCAGGTCGAGGCCGAGGTCGAAGGGCGACATGCAGAAGGGCGAGAACGGGTGGTAGATGCTGTCGAACTGGAGGCCGTCGGCGGAGGGGGCCTCCCCCTGGCCGGGGATGTCGATGGTGTTGGAGGAGGAGGAGTGGCTGGTGCGGTCCGAGGAGTCGAAGGATTTGAAGTTATAGGAGCGGAAGGGCTTGGAACCGCCGGTTGGGGAGACAGAGTGGTCCGAGAAGCCCTCGGAAAGCTCGTGGTCGGAGGCCTCGAACCCCATCGGCAGGAAGACGTCCAGGTCCTGAAGGTCTGCCAGGGCAGGGCTGGCGCTGTCCAGCCGCTCCTTTCCAGCCTCAGTGCCCGACTCCCTGCCCGCGTGCTCCGAGAGCTTCAGGAAGCCGAGGCAGCCCCCGTTGGCGGAGCCGCTCAGGCTGTGCTGGCGGGATTCGTAGGACTCCTTGACGTAGAGCTTGGTGAGCGTGTCCTGCCAGCCGGCCAGCTTCGCCAGCTGCCTCACCATGTCGTGCTGGGAGTAGATCAGGTGGAAGAGCTGCAGGCGGGGAGAGGACAGAACGGGGCACGTCACGGACCAGCGTGGCCGGGCAGATCTGTTCCCACTCCCTGCGCCCGCCAGAGGGGGAGGAGTTTGGCACTAGCGGCAGGGCACTCAGCTGCACAATCCACTCGCCCGCCTTTACTGCGGCAAACGAGGATTCGCCGAACGTCCACCAGCGAGTAGCCCTCAAGGATCGGGCAAGGCTGGGTTAAAGGGAGCTGGGCCTATCTACTGCTTCCCACATTCCTCAAGACGGCAGCACCGCGGGGTAGGGAAACCCTCCTTAGAGGGCCCGATGTGCGGTCGGGAGAGGGGTCATGCCTGCCTCTCCTCAGCCCAGAAATCAGGGCTCCCACATCTGCAGCCCCCACGCTCTGCACTGGCCTCGCTCCAGCAGCGAGGATGCAATGGCCCGAGCTGCGCCCGCAGTCCTCGAGCAGAGCTCCGTTCACCTCACTAGGTACTTGTACGGCCCCATCAGCGCTGCAACCAAGTACCTGCTCAGACACCCACGGGCCCGCGGGGCCAAATCCCTCCCCAACCCCAGATCTGGCGAGCAGCTGAAACCAAGAGCCACCGTCGGGATGTGTTCAGCCCTTCGGTTCCTCCACCCCTTTGCGGCCGCACGCTGGGGACGGGTCTGAGTTCCGGGACAGTGACGTCAAGGGAGGCTGAAAGCCTTTGATCACGCTGAGCCGGATCTCTGTCAGCTCGGCGGCTCCTTCCCCGGCCAGCCCTTCTCCTGACACCGGCTGGCCGGCTGCCTCGAAGGGTCTCCATGCCAGCCAGCCGCTCGGCTGGCTTCCCGCCCCATGTGGCTCCAAGCTCTTGCTAATCAGCATCTCTCCCCGCCTTCCACTCTTGGGAGAGAAGCGGAGAGATGGGGTTATGCCTGGCTCCGCTGAGCACGGTCACCCAGGACCGCAGCGTGCGAGGGATCTAGGGACACCATCAGCCCGGCTGCAACCAACGGGGGATGGAATAGGGTGTCTGCATTTAGCCCTGGAGACGGACGGCGTCGGTCTGTCTATGGAACAAGGGCAGCTCACGGCCCTGCCAATATGCCCCTGCCCAAGAGGACAAGATGGGAGGTGAGCCTGCAGGTGCGTCTGCTCGGGTCACAGGCTGCACGGCCAATCGGTGTGAGACGGAGCAGTGCCTTAGTGACAGACGCCAGCTCCTGAGGACACCCAGTCGCCTTCGGAGGGCAACAGCTTCCAGGGACATGGGGCCCGGAGGGCATGTCAAGAGACAGAACCAGCTGACTTGGGAGGCTTGGGGGCCTGATGGGTTAATGCACCAGGCCCGAGTTTGAGCCCATCTGGGGCTGTACACGCAGGGAGTGACATGGACTCGTCGCTCTGCAAGAGTGCACGATCAGGGAAACCTGCAGAACTCCCCGCCGGACAGTCCTACCTTCCGGCAGGTATCCAGCCTGACCGCCAGCTCCGCCCGGTGGGACAGGTACACCACGGCCATCAGGTCCTTGTAGCTGGGAGAGTCTGCGGGGATGAGAAGCAAGAATGGGCGTGGGATGCGGCCCTGCAGCGCGCTGACCTTAACGGACCGTTCTCCGGCCACAGCGCAGCCTGCCTTCCGTGGAGACCGGCGGCTGCTCCGAGCCAGCCCGGCCCAGACACTCCCCCACACTTTGCGGGGGGAAGGGGGTTCAGCATGGGATCCCAGGTCCGAAACAGATGGCTGACCCCCAGGTCCATAAATCCCAGGCTCTCTTTAGCAACACGCCCCCTAAGCCACGTGGCTGTAGCACGGCAGGGCCATGGCCTCGAGGCAGGCGCCGTACCTGAGCCAAGAACCTGCTCCAGGAGACACCGGAAGAGCAGCATGGACACCGGGGTGTCATTCAGATACGATATGAGCCCTTGGTAGCCGACGTCCTTCAGTTTCAGGCGGTACTTGCTGCGCTCGTGCGCCTTCTCGTATTTCAGCATCTTGTACAGGATCTGCGGGAGGGAGAGCGCCGGCTTTAGGGACAGGGCTTGGCGAGAGCCACCACGGGCTGGTGCTGGAGGCCAGGGGGATTCGGACAACGCCAGGCTCTAGGACTCGCGTCTCACCTTGAAGACTCTCTCCCGTACGTCGTCGGAGAACTTCCTCTGGACGAGCAGCGAGAACAGGACCTCCACGTTCCCTGACTCAAAGAGGAAGGCGTAGAGCTGGTCCTGGGAGGCCGAGTCTTTCAGCAAGCTTTGGATCACCTCCAGAACCCCACACACCTGAAATGGCCACGGACGCAGTTACACGCCACGGACGCCGATTGGCCATCGCCCCCAGACCACAGCAGCCCCGCCATCCTTCAGCCCGGCCTCGGGATACAGCCACGCCTCCCAGGCTCTCAGACGAGTGACTGGCAGGGATTCGGGGGAGGATATTCATGGTAACGGGGGTTGCTGAAGGTGCGGTTATGGTTGGAAAAACAGCTCCGACAACAGCCCCTGAGGGCTTGTCTACATGGACAGTTAACGCAGGGTAAGGTGGGGTGTAAATCTACATCACGCGCCTTTGCTGCGCGCTACCTGGCCATGGGGACCCTGCTGCCGTGCGCTAGAAGTGCCGTGGTGCAGATCCCAGCGCACGACAGAACCGCTAGCGCACGGCTGCTGGGTCCGCACGGACACTTGGTAGCGGGCTGTACATTCCCGCCCCAGCTGACCGGTTAAACGAGCCCTTAGCCAATCAGCTCCCTGCGTGTCCCCATCTCCTACAGATTATCGCTCGCCACACACGGTTTTACCCAGGGCCGGCCCAGCTGCAGCCGAGCGAGCTGGGTCGGGGATTTTCCTTCGGGACCTCGCTAAGGGCACAGCCCGGCTTCCAGACCCCACGGTGCAGGGCTGGATCTGGGGGCCCCCCCAAGTAAAAATACACAGCGTCCTCCCGAGCATCATGCGGTCCCTGCGCTGACTCAAGCCGCGGTTCCAGCTTGGCCCCGAGCGGTCACTTCTCAAGGCAAGGGCACGGCCGCCGTTCGTCACACCTCCGGGACAACCCAGCCGCTTCTGAGCTCTCTGTTAGGAGGCAGTATTTGTACTGCAGTAGCGCCAACGGGCTCCGGCCAAGAGCAGGGCCCCGCAGCGCTAGGTGCTGCACAAACCCACGGTAAGAGAGTCGCGGCCCAGGAGAGCTTGCAGTCTGAACAGGCAGGACGAAGGAAGGATCGCTCCCCCTTTTAAAGATGGGAAACTGAAGCCCAGACAAATGAAGGGTCACTCAGGGCGGCTGTGGCAATGAACGTAGGACCCCCGAGTTCCAATCCTGCACCTTAACCACAAGACACTGCCCCCTAGTGGTGCCTCTCCCGCCGCACCTGGTGTTCATCGTGCACCGCAGCCAGGTAGTTCAGGGCGCTTTGCATCTCGTCGGCAGAGAAACTCCTGCAGAGGAAGTCCTTCACCAGGCTGAACAGGGACATCTGCACCGTCTTCACGTCGTCCGCGGGAATCGGCTTCTCCTTATGAGCGCTGCGAGAGAGGGGGAAGGGGAGGGACTTTACATTAAGGGCATCGACGACATGGCCCGGATGCGGAAATGGGGGAGAACCGCATTCCTCAGCCTCCCCTGGCTTCGCTTTATAGTGCCACCCCCGACAGGGCTCCAGCCCCCCGCCCCCAACAGAGGCAGGCATGGTTCCCGATCACGGAGCTGCCGAGCGGGGCGTGTGGGACGGGAACTCTCAGGCTGCAGGAATCCAGAGCCATAGGGCAAACCGGGGGAGGGGATGGCGCAAGAATCTCACCGCCGCACGCAGCGCCCAGGGGGGCTCCGAAAGCAGCAGCGGAACGGGCAGGAACGGGGCAAAGCATCTTCACCGGGGAGTCAGTTCTACTCCAGCCTTGAGACGCGCCCACCGAACAGCCTGCCATGGGCAGTGGGTAGCGAAGGCCAGGGGGAGGTTAAGCATCCCCTAAACCCAGATGTGGCCCTGTCCATGCTCCGCCCCGAGGCCCCGCCCATGCTCCGCTCCGTCCTGAGGCCCCGCCCCACCCATGCTCGCTATCTCCCATGAAGCCAGCAGGGGCTGTGCTCTAGTTGGAGGTCAGGGGTGGTAGGGCGGCCGGAGCTCCTCAGGCTGCGGAAGTGGGGGGTGAGGGGGCGGCAGTGGCTCAGGGTTCTGGCGGGTGGGTGGGGGCCTCAGGCGGAAGAGGCGGGGCCACGGGCTAACCTCACCGACTGGGGTGGGGGAAGGTTACCTGCTGCCTGCGTTTCCCCCCCACCGCATGCCTCCGCTGAGGGAAAAGAAACGGATGGGTCCTGGGCAGAGCAGGCTGGAGAGAACATCTTCTCAGACTGCCTGGAGCCAAGGAGCCGGTTCAGCTTTACCCATGTGCTGCCCCAGGACATCCCCTCTTCTCCAGGCACTGAAGGGTTAAAGCGACTCTGCCAGCTCCCCAGGACAAACAAGGGCAAGGTGGAAGCCGCGAGCCAGCCTTTAACAACTCACCCGTAATACGTCCGAATGGAGTCCAGGATGTATTGGACCCCGTATTTCTTGCGGATCCTCTGCTTGTGGTCCTTGATGGTGTTCGATAAATACTGAATGTGACCTGCAGGCGTTGGGGAAGAGAGGGAGAGAGCAGACCCATCCAGAAGATTAAGTAAGTACCCGTATTTGGCAAGCAGAGACAGCCGGGACATGCCGCAAGCTCTCGGCCAAACCACCCTGGCCAGGAGGCAGCTGATCCCCTGACCCACGCAGCGGGAAGCCGTGAGCTGCCAAGGCGCACCCCACCCGGGAAGCAGGCCCCCAGCAGCGCTCGACGCCCCAGGAGGCGCTTACCTAGCCGGACGGCGAAGTCACTCTTGCTCCAGATGCGGAAGTCGAAGAGCAGGTACTGGTACAGGAGGTGCAGCAGGAAGCTGTGGCTCTCGGCAGCCACCTGCTCCATCAGGATCTGCGACGCCATCAGCACGTTCATGTCCATCATGAGGCTGGAGACCTGACGAGCGCAAAGCAACGAGAGCTGGGTGGGTGGCGCCATTTCGATCCCGCAGCCACAGGGCATTCTGGGACTTACGAGTCATGTGACCCACAGAAAATGAACCTGCCTTAGAGCTCTCACAACAAAAGGCGGGCAGATGCTTTCCTAAGCCAGAGGGGGGCTCTAAGGTAGCAGAGAACTTGCCATTTTGGGTGATGAGAGAGAAGGAGAGAATAAACTCTTAACCACGAGGGGTAAAAGGGATAGGTGTTTGGGTGTCCCCATAATATGTATAAAATACTCTATGTCTCCAACACCTCTGAGATCAAGCCATCAGTATGCTCCAGAGTCAACACCCTATTGAAACGACTGGGAGCAGAGGTCACCTATCATCGCTTGTTCCAGTGGGGCTGCAGCCAGCACTGCATGGCATTACGTGAATTCCCGGATTGGCCGTTCCCCTTGCAGGCATACGCAGCGGCCGGCTTTAATGCACCACGTGCCAGGCCCTGGGCTCAGCACCGCCTTGTTTAGCTGCCCTAGGTGACCAACGGCTTGGCCGGCTGGCCCTGGAAGTCTCTTACCTTCTGCAGCAGAGCTCCAATGATCGCCGGCCCGTGGCACTGCACGAGGCTCTCCTGGTTCACGGGGTGATGCCGGATAAAGTTCTTGACCAGCAGCAGAAACGCAGCCACGCCGTTCTTCTCCAGTCTGCCCTCTGCAGGAGGGGACGAGAAGGGTCAGCCAGGGACCAGCTCTTATTGCCAAGGGGGGGAGTGGGGCTGGCTGTCCAAGGGACAGGTAGGTACGTGGCCCAGGAGAATTTCAGGGCTCCAGCAGCACACGGAGGGGCTGGTCTCCCGCTGCCCCCCCTCCCAATAGCCACGCAGAGGCTGCGCTCACCGGAGGACTTGCCCAGGGGGATGAGCATTCCCTGGCGATTCCGCGAGGAGGTCAGTTCTGGCCCAACCAGGTCGTGGGTTTCCTGGCTGTCCTCCGATTCTTTTCTCTCGGCCGCCACTTGGTCCAGCAACGGGAGGAGCACCCCCATCCCGCCAACACAGTTCACCACGTCCTACAGGAGGAGAGAGAGAGAGAGACAGGGCCCTGGCTGATGCACGGAGCTTCCGTCTGTGACGTTATTGATATAATCTGGGACCATATAGATCATTGGTGCAACCAAGGTCCTGTAGTGGCACCCAGATCTTGTATAAAGGGGGTCAAATGGGGTGTCTAAGACAAGGTTATGGTTTATTGGTTATAATTATGCTATCTATATGTGTGTATCAATTTTGTAGTTGAAGTTATGAATATTGGCTCTATGCTGTCTGTATTTCAAACTTATGCTATGCTGCTGGGGGACATCCCAGACAAACTGGTGTTAGCTCTGCCTAGCCTGCTTGATGGCCCATTAAGGACCATCAGCTATACAATGGACCCATTGAGAGAAGGCAGATACGCCTTGTAACTCAGCAAAGTATGCAGGGACTGGCCCATGTGACTCCAGACTCCATGTTGCTGTAATTTTCCACAGTAAGAACAAAGAGGTGTTCTTACACCTGGAAAAGACTATATAAGGCTGATGCCTCATCTCCATCTTGTCTTCAATCCTGCTTCTTACCTCTGGAAGAACTTGGCTACAAGCTGAAGCTTTGAACAAAGGACTGAGGACCCATCCCAGCGGGGGATGTATTCCAGAGACTTGATTTGAACCTGCAGTTTATTCTATCGCTGCTGCAAGCCTGAACCAAGAACTTTGCCATTACTGTATGTAATTGACTCCATTTAACCAATTCTAGCTCTCATCTCTATCTTTTTCCTTTTATGAATAAACCTTTAGATTTTAGATTCTAAAGGATTGGCAACAGCGTGATTTGTGGGTAAGATCTGATTTGTATATTGACCTGGGTCTGGGGCTTGGTCCTTTGGGATCAGGAGAACCTTTTTCTTTTCCTGGGGTCTTGGTTTTCATAACCATTTGTCCCCATAACGAGTGGTACTGGTGGTGGTGCTGGGAAACTGGAGTGTCTGAGGAGATTGCTTGTGAGACTTGCGGTTAGCCAGTGGGGTGAGACCGAAGTCCTCTTAGTCTGGCTGGTTTGGTTTGCCTTAGAGGTGGAAAAGCCCCAGCCTTGGGCTGTAATTGCCCTGTTTGAGCAATTTGTCCTGAGTTGGCACTCTCAGTTGGGTTCCGCCAGAACCGCATTGTCACACCGTCTTTGCCAGCTCACGCCGCGCCCGCGCAGGGCAGTGCTCAGGTAAGTAACCGTGCATGCAAGACTCCAGCGAGGTACCAGCCCGAGAGACCCTACAGAACAAGCCTGCTCGGGCCCAGGGACTGCCCGCCCCAGGAGTCAGCAAGAGAGCCAGCCGCCGCTTCCCAGAGCCAGCCGCAGGCCGTGCAGCCCAACAGCCTGCCAGGGAACAAGGGTTTAGCAGTGCAAAAAACCCATCTGTGTGTGTCTGTCTCAGCAGCTGCGCCTGACTCCTCGTCACCCACACCAGTTTAACCATAGACCTCAGTGGGGCTACTCCTTAGCAGAAGAGAAGCAGGCCCACTGAATCTAAACCGTCTGGAGCACTGAAAGCTTAAGTTAGCACCAGGGTCATAAAAGCAAATAAACCGGGCTCTGCATCCTCTGGGCGACTGGTCTCAAAAGCTGTTGGGCCGATCGTTGCCCTAGAGTAGCGTTCGATTAGCCGCAGTGTTTGCGTCGCGTGTGCATGAGTCGCACAGCGAGACCGTGGACCACACGCCGTGTGCCGTGACGTTATCGGGGGCACTCTTGACAGCACAGGACTGCCAGTGGTTTGCAAACCTGAGCCGGGAGCCTGGGATGCAGGGTTCAAGTGTTCCTCCAGTTTGTCCATATCTTGGGAGTGGGTTTAGAGGAGAGCAAGGAAAACGATCTGGGCGCTGAAGGGGCTATGGGGTCCGAACAACTATTGCTCGGCCACGCTGAGTGTAAGGGGGTAATGGGGCAAGGGGAACCCCACGGGTGGGAGTGTCCGAGAGGAAGTATCTAAGGGGCACACAGGGAGAGAAGCTACGGGTGAATCGGATGGCATTAACAAAAGTAAGATATAGGTTAAATGTCAGGAAAATCCCCATGGCAGTGAAATATTAGACTGGAGAACAGTCTCTTAAGCCTCAGTGCAGGAGATCTTTCGTAGCAGACAGACCCCCCACTCCTACGCGTTCTGTAGCATAGGAGCTGACTTCCTCTGTTCCCGGGGGGGACGTTCGACCCCCACTCTGCCCCAAGCCCCCCCCCCTCCACCCCTTACCCCAAGCCCCCCCACCCGCTCTGCCTCTTCCCGCCCCTGCTCCGCCTCTTCCCATCTCCACTCCTTCCTCTCCTCCCCCAGTGCCTCCTGCACGCCGCCAAACAGCTGATCGCGGCAGGCGCTGAGGGTAGGAGCGGATTGGCAGTGCTGCCAGTGGGTGCTGAGCACGCTCTATTTTTCCCCCCCATGGGTGCTCTGGGGCTGGAGCACCCAGGGAGTCGGCACCTATGTCCTGTAGGGAAGGAGTTGAACTGGGTCATCTAACCCATGCGATTGTCTGACAACATGACGATGCATTGATCCCAATTTAGCGCTGTAGGAAGCACCAGGTCCTGGACTTCTCGGCTACCCGAGACCATGTTTCCCACTGAGTCCCAATCTCGTTGGCCCAGCGCCCACCAACTCCAAGAGCCGGGGGAGACCGAGAGGCAGCACCGTACCTTGATATCCCAGTTCACCACTTTGTGTCCGGTCAGCCTCCCGTCAAAAAAATGGTTTGGAGACAGGTCCAGGCAGATGTTATTTTTACAAGCCTACAACAGTGCAAGCAAACGACACGTCTTTAGCACACACTACGGCCATGCCAACAGGTTCAACACACACATGCTCCCTATCCTGGCATAAGCCATCGCCCGAGACAAGGAGAGAGGAGAAGAGGAAAGGTGGCCTTGCGGTTTGGGCTGGGACTCCAGAGATCCAGCGTTCTCAGCTCTGCCACAAACCTCCTGCGTGACCTTGGGCAAGTCACTTGATCTCTCCAAGCCTGTGTAAAACGGGGATACCGACTTAGTCTGGTCTGTTTAGATTGGAAGCTCTTCAAGGCAGCCCTTGTTACAAACAGCAACCTCAGACAGTCACCGAGTCCCTTGTGCCGAACTCGCAGCCCGGGAAGGCAGGTACTTTGGCGGCCCATGGCATGTGATTTAACCCTACCCTCCACACACACCGGGGGAGGAAGGATCTAGGCCCTGAAGGGCTGCGAGTTTACTACAGGAAACATAAGAACGGCCATACTGGGTCAGACCAAAGGTCCATCTAGCCCAGTGTCCTGTCTTCCGACAGTGGCCAATGCCAGGTGCCCCAGAGGGAATGAACAGAACAGGTAACCATCAAGTGATCCATCCCCTGTCACCCATTCCCAGCTTCTGGCAAACAGAGGCTAGGGACACCCTCCCTGCCCATCCTGGCGAATAGCCATTGATGGACCCATCCTCTAGGAACTTAGCTAGTTCCTTTTTGAACCCTGTTATAGTCTTGGCCTTCACAACATCCTCTGGCAAAGAGTTCCACAGCTTGACTGTGATGTCTCCCCACACCCAGAGGTCCCCCGCATGTGGGGCTCTTCTGAGCTACGGGCCGAGCAGGTGCGTGTGGTGAGGATCCGTTTTGGCTGCTGTGTGTCATTCCTTTTCTGCCACGACTGCAGAGCGGCACCCAGCCAGACTGAAGGATTTACCATCACCTAACGAGGAAGGTCCCAGAGCTGTTTAAAGCAATTGCCACCATGGGCCAGCCCAGCCCAGGAGACTGGTAATTCCATACAGAGCTGGTCACCCCGCTGCACCGCGCCCCTCACCTCTGGAACCCCATTACCCACGTACCTTTCCAGCTCCACCCACAAACTCCCAGTCCCTTTGCAGAGCTGGCCAGCGCTCAATGCAGTGCTCTCTCCAAGCCCAAGGCAGCTCATCCGAGCACGGCCCAGCGAACCCCCAGCAGCACCAGCCGTGCCAATCCCTCGAGATGGTGCCGGCAGGGAGAGAACCGCAGAGAGGTGCCCGGGAAGGTCCCTCTTTACCTGGGGTGTGTAGTAGAGGAGCAGCTTGCTGCTGAGCTCCAGGAAGTCGCCTTCCGGCTTGAGCGGCGACGTAACGTTTGGTCCTGCGGGCGGGAGGGAAGGGCGAGCGGGGTGAGCGAGCGACAAGCACCCTCTTGCCGGGCTGGCCCAGAGAGCCGAGCACGTGTTCCTACCTGGGGCTGACCCTACTGGCCAACGAGTGCAGAGGCCTGCACAGCTATCCCTGGTCTGATCCCCACTGGTCCCGGACCCCGTGCGAGAGCGACCTGCCCCCTTCTCCCTCCCTGCATGGGTCCCTGCCAGGGCGGCCTCCTCCCAAGCCAGGGGGAGCGATGCACTCGGCACCGTGGGGCGTCACACCCTGCTAGCGCACACTCTGGGGATAGGGAGCGTGGCTGGCATGGGGCCCCAGCCAGGCTATGGAAATCTATCCTGCAGCAGGACCCATGTGGTTAAATCCCCTGTTCGGCCCTGAGTCACAGACTGCGTTATCGGCGCTCTGGAATCACCGCGCAGCTTGGACGGTCTGTGCACCACTGGGGTGGGTGCGATCCCCAGCCATGCTGCCGGGGATGGGGCAGGGCACCTCCTACAAATTCCTCAGCACGTTCCGGACCCCGCCGGTACTCAGGGTCGCAACCCGGCCAGCAGCGACTTGTGTCAGACAGCTAGCACTGCTCTGAGCCCTGCGTGGCCGAGGCCTCCAAGAGATTCCTACTGCCCCTCATCCTCCTGCTTCCCCCCTGCACAGAAACCCCCCTGCAGCAGGAGAACAGCCTCCCGGGCCGTCCCCCGAGCTGAATGAGGGATATCACGCCTCAGGCCGGCTCACTGAGCGAGGAGAGGAACCAAAGGGGGAGATTCTCCCTTTGAGATCCAGAACCTACCTGAGGAGAAAAGTGCTTTGACCTGCGTCTGCTGGAGGGCTTCGCAGAAGATGGACACCGACCCCAGGTGTCCTTCGAGGGACGTAGGGGTCCCCCACTCTGTGTCCTGACTCCCTGCCACTGTCGTAGACACCTGGCCTTCTCTGGGGGGCTGAGCGGCCCCGGGAGTCCAGGAGTGCATGGCCAGCGAGGCAGGGAAGGATTGGGAGCGGCTGAGGGAGGGGTGGGAGGGGAAGACCGGCTCCGGCGAGTGGGAAGGCGAGGGGTAGACCGTGGAGGTGGTCGTTGTCCGGTGGCCAGCGGAGCCGATGCAACACGAGGTGAAAGACTGAAAAGACAGAGGGGGGAACAATTGCACGGAGCCCTGGAGAGGAGGGTAACGCGGCTCTTGCAGCGCGCCACCTCCCCAGACCCTTTGACTTGTATTTAGACAAAGCTCGTCAGGGCAGGGACTGTCTCCTATGTGCGTTTGTACAGCGCCTAGCGCACCGGGGCCCTGTCCTTGGTTAGGGTCTCCCGGTGCTGCCGAAACACAAGCAGGAAGCATCATGTTCCCAAAGACAGGACTGGCAGGTGGCTGCCGTCCTCTTTATCGAGCCCTCTTCTTCCACCCAAAGATGCGGGACTAGGACCTGCCCTCCACCACTGGCCCCTGGAACGACCGGATCGGGCAGCGCACGATGGGAAAGGAGACTCCTGTGTCTCCCCTCAGCAACGAGGGGCCGCTGTCGAGCCGGAGCAGCCTCCCAGCACTGAACGGGGATGGGGTCTCTGGGAGCTGGTCTAGGACCGAAAGGCGCCTCCTAACGTTATGGCTCAGATACCTGAATCCGAGGCAGCAGAGATGAACGAGACCTATTACTGTAGGACCCACCCAATCCATCTTCCTAGGGCCAAAGGAGGCGCAGCGGTTGTGTTTTTACCTCTTCTAGTTCTCAGTCACCTAGACGACGAGCCGGGGAGAACCTTGGGCCATGGCAGCATTTCTGCGTTTCACACACTTTGGCTGGGAGATGCCCCTTGTTTTAGACCCCGGCCCTGCCAGCTGCTCCCTGCAGAAGGACCCCTAGGCTCACAGGGAGCCCCACCGTCGTCCACTGACGAGCAGCTACTCATGGGGCAGAGCCTGGCTCAGTACGCTGGCTGCCCAGTGCCTCCCTCATCCTGCTCAGCAGCCTGGCAGCAGGAAGGCCTACTCCAGAACTGCACCGGTGGTTCTTGGCCCAGGAGATCCAGGGACAGTCTGGAGGCTGCTGTCGGAAGGACCCACAGAGTGTAGAGGAAATGACTCCCTGTGCCGACCGGTACGGCCAAGCCTCTCCGCCCATGCCCTGCGCTCCGGGCCCAGCACGGCTATCACGGCACCACTGCTGCATTCGGCACAAGGACGTCTGCCTGGTGAGATTCAACTACAGGCTGCTGCTCAAATCCTCCAGTGATTCACACCGAGGACGCCTGAGGCTCCCCGAAGACCATACACAGCGCTCCCCCGACCAGCCAGGCTCTGAACTGCGCTGGTTACCCAGGAAGGGGTTAAACATGAAGCAGGGAGGAGAGCAGACCAGTGGGAAAAGCCAGCTGCTAGCCGGGTTGAGCCCCTTGGGCTCTCAGGGCCGCCAAAGTGGATCCTTTTGGGCAGGCGGCTTAGGAGACAGCGCGACCGGCCGCTCAGGGCAGATGGGCACAGCTCCTCCGCTTCCCCACCTCTCCCCCAGCTGCGGGAAGAGATGTGAGGGTGCCCAGGAGGGAGCAACCTCCTGCGCAGAGTTGGGATCAGACCCTGAGGGTTTCCTTTATCACAGAGCATCAGAGGGGAGTGTTCTCTTGATGCACATCCTCCTAACACTCCCGGGCCTGGTCGCTCTCCACAGCCTGGCATCACTTCATCCAAGGTGTCCCCCACTGCCCACCTGCAGATTCTTAAGTCAGGCCCTTCAGATCTGACCTTTCTCTGACACGCCTCCCCTAACCACCCCTTGATCTTTCTCTCTCACCCTCCCCCTTCGATCCTGACGGGGATAAAACCGCTCAGCCTGGTCTCAGTACAGCCCAGCGCTTACTCCAAGTTCAGCCCAGGCTTCGGAGCACTGTCCTAAGCAAGGATGCTTTGCTGAATCGGGCTCAAGTAATCTTCCTCAGCCCGGGCACCCTCAAAAGTGTGAGAGCACCGCTCCTCTCCCTCGCGACCTGCACCTTCTTCTCACGCGTCGCTGTACGGGGGAAGGGCCAGAGAAGCAGGGAACTAAAGAAGTCAGCAGTGGAAAGCCGGGGGGCGGCAGGACAGAGCGCCATCTGTCTGGGTCACCTAGGAGGCGAGGGGCCTGGCCCAGGAGACCAGGAAAGTGGAGGGAGGGGAACAAGGCAGCAGCTCCCAGACGGTCCCCCCGCGTTACCTCATTGAGGGAAGGAAAGCGCAGGTGAGCCACCTGCTGCAGCTGCCCGTCTGTGTAGATGTTGACCAGGTTCTGGCCGAAGGGCCGGCGGCCGGTGACGTGGACGATGTCGATGCAGTGCTGGAGGAGAGAGCAGGGCGGGGGGGAGAGTCAGCGCCAGCTTCAACCCTGCCCCTTTACTGACTATACCCAGCATGAGCCCACCGCCCCGGCTACGCTCATCCCCCCTTCCGGACGCCCTCCTCCCAGACTCTCCCCCGGCCAGCTGCCCCCACTCCAAGCCATCTCCTCCTGCAATCGGGGGGCAGCTCAGGACCCCAGACGAGCCCAGCTAACAGCTCAACGGAGGTTTAGCTTCTCAAGGCTGCGGTGGACGTACAGGGGGGACGGCACCAGCTGCGTAAGACAGACAGCAGTGCTGTCCCCAGCACCGCAGGGCAGGGGGTGAACCACACACTGCACCTGCGGCGGAACGGCAGCCAGAACCCGGACCGGTGAGCGCGGTTAAGCCCCTCTGCACTCGGGAAAGTGGACCGTGATGGCTGCTGTCGGTCCAGCAGCATGGTGCCAGCTCTATGCTGGGCCACGGACTCAGTAGCGACTCACGGGGAAGAGCGCCACCTAGCGAATCCCCAACGCATTGCTCAAGCGGCTAGGGGCTCACCAAAGGTCTCCCATGCAAGCGCTGGTCCGGCTCAACCCCGAGCAGCTTGCGGGAGCCTGTCAGAGACACGCTCGCAGCCCAGGTGCACACAGCGGCAGTGGAGCTGCAGAACTGAACAGCCAGCGGCTCGTTCTCCAGGCAGACCTGACACTGCAGCAGTGTTTATTTCAGACAGACGTTTGCTAGTGTAACCCACACACCTCCTGGGTGTGATGTTCTGTCCCATCTAGTGGCACCCAGACCACAGAGAGAGAGATTAATGAGTTTGCTCTTCAGCCTTAGCTAACCGCCAGTTGGCTTTTAGCTCCCGTGGTACAGGCTCATGCACTAAGCTCCAGAGGTCCCAGGTTCGATCCCGCCCGCCGACAACCAGGGTCTGTCGGCGTTACACTAGGATGTGTCTGCAGGTCTCAGAGCTTTCAGTGAAGGCATTGGGAGTCAGATCATAAGAATGGCCATACCAGGCCCAACTAATAGCCCCTCAAGTCCAGTATCCCATCCCAGAGCGTCAGGGGGAGCGTACAGAACAGGGCAATTTTGGAGAGCTCCATCCCTGTCTTCCCCTCCCAGCTTCTGGCAGTCAGAGGTTTAGGGTCACCCCGAGCATGGTTCTGCGTCCCTGACCAGCTTGGCTAATGGTCATTGATGGACCCTCTTCTCCGTGAATTTCTCCAGTTCTTTGGTGAACCCAGTTACGAACCTTCCCCTGTGTGACCTTCAGCAAATTACTTCGCCTCCGAGCCTTATTATCTCCTTGTACAGAGGGGAAACCAAGTCTGATTTACTGCCTTGAGTGAGGCACTGAAGAGACCCTGGACTACTGCTTCATGAATTGCATGTTCCTGGGCTGCGTTCTCTCTCCACCTACAGACACCAGCCTGAGATATGGTCCGGTGGAGGGGGTACAGGCCCCAGAACACCTGGGTTCTATTCCCGGCTCTGCCAATGATCTTCTGAGTGGCCTTGGGCCAGTCACTTGCCCTCTGCTTCCCCTGCCACCCTGTGGCTGTTTGGACTGTAAGCTCTTTGTCTCTCAGTCCATGCATACGCAGAGCTTAGCACAACTGGGCCCTGATCTCCGCTGGGATTGCTAAGCGTGACCCTAGCCATTTGCATCCCGACCATCACGTTGTCTTCATATCAGGTGCCGCACCCACGTTTAAATAGGTTGGCCTCAATCTTTTGGGGGAGGGGAGCGGGATCCCCCCCATGACAAAAGGGCTCAGAGGAAATCCATTGCTGTAACTGCAGGGCAGAGGGTCATTGCGTGACATGAACAGCCTGTAGATTCGGAACGGATTCAAGAAACGCTACGGCACATGGGCAAAGGGCAGAATTCTCTGGCGCCTCTGGTCCAGCCATTGCTGGGGCTAGTTTTAAAGTAGGCCGGACAATCCCAGTCAGATAGACCCAAGTCACATTTCAGGGTGTATGCTGACCCCACCCTGCCCCATGGCCAAGTGAATTCGAGATTGCCACAAGCAGGATGAAGACTTGATGGACTAACCCATCAGGTAAGGCCAATGGAAGGGCATGGGTTGGCTGGAACAGAAGGCACTGGAATGAAAGGGGATGTCCCATCCCAGTGTTAAGGGACCCTACTCACCCATGCAGAATCGTTGAAGGTGAAGTCCGGGAGCGCCACCGTCATATACTCCTTCTTGGTGCACACCGCCACCACCAGCATCCCGTCGGCCGTGAAGAACGCCTCGAAGCCGGTGCCGCTGGCCGTGAAAAAGCTGCAGGGGGGAGTCACAAGGAGGAGGGAGAACGGTGACGGGGGGGTTAGGAGCTGGCCTGAGGCCCTGGAGGCCGGTGGAAGGGACCGGTTGCGGGAGGCGTGTGTAGTAAAAGTCTGGAGAAGGACAGTCAAACCAGCAGAGAGGATGGTTGCAGACAGCTTGGGGTGGGAGGGATGCAGGGGGAGTGACCGAGACCCGCTGGGTGCTTTGCGAAAAGCTGATGAGCACGGGCGGCCCCGCTCTGGGGAGGCTAGCCCCCGGCTCCGCCCCTTCCGCCCACGCCCTGCCTACGGCTGGAGCCCCAAGACCCCCCGCCCCCGCCCCCCCCCCCCCCCCGCGGCCAGAGCCACAAGACCCCTTACCTCCCCCCAGCTGCAGGAGACCCCCCCACACACACCTGGAGGAGCCCCAGGCTGGCTGAAGCTGTCCCATGCCTCCCCTCCCTGGACCCAACCCACCCTGGGGAAAGCGTCTGTTAGAAGATGCTTTTGATATGCCCCATGCAGGTTCCGGGGTGGCTGAGGAGGTGGTATGTGCCTCAGCCGCCCTGGAACCTGCACGGCCATAATAAAGCAAAATCTTTGCCACCAAAACCTGCAACCGGGGGTCCCGTGGCCGAGCCTCCACTGCCTATTATACCTGCCGCCCATGCTGATGAGTACTCAAGGGGAAGTTTCTACGCCCGAGTGGGGTTTTACTTCACCCTGGGCTCTGAGAGTCAAGCTGGGTTCTTCTCATCCCGTGCACCACCCCCAGTAATAAAGGATCAGCACTCCAAGTTAGAGACGCGACCCTGTGGTCTTCAGATTCTGCCCAAAGCTGCACCATGCACCTACTGTCAATGCTTGAGCTGCGTAGGTGTGACAGACCTGAGTTTAGCCTGGCTGGAGCTTAGGTATCAATTCTGCTCTAAGTATTTATCTAGCCTCCATCACACTAGTTTGTGAGCACCTCACAGAACCATATCTATCCTCACAACCACCTGAGAGGCAGGAGAGCTGGGGAACCAAGGCTCAGAGAGGCTAAGTGACATGCTCAAGGTCAGACAGGAAGTCTGTGGCAGAGCAAGGACTCGAACCCAGGTCTCTCAAGTTCCAGACTAGCACCTTAACCACTGTGCCATCCTTCCCCTCATGCAACATTCTGCTAACGTTTATGTCAGGGTAGACTCTAGCTCTTTCTCCCAGAGCTGTGTGGGCACTGCAGGTATTTAATGTCATTGCTAACGTGAGTGACGAATGCACAACAGGTAACAGGAACTCTTACTGCTGTGACAGGTAATCTCCTGAAATACCCTTGAAAAAACTCACAGTATGAAGCATATGTATTACTGTGGGCCGGCACTGGATGCAACTTCTTTATGGGGGGAGGTGGGACAAAGATTGCAACCCGATGAGGTATCTTCAGCATCCATTGTTTTAAACGAATGGTTCTGTTTGATGGTGGTGTTCTACTCTGGGGGGGAGGGCTGCCACAGCTCCTCCAGGCAATGGGCGGGGGGGTAATGAAGGCAAATCAGCCATGTTGTACCCTCCCCCCAATCCCTCCAAAGAAGTACCAACTTCTGGGGAAGCTTGCATATACTGGGTCAAACTAGATTCTCCAGAGACCAGCGGACAAAGGAAGGACTTTTGGATAAATAGCCTGGTAAAGTGACTCTGGGCCGGCTTTCTGATCCAACAAACAGGCAGGACTTTGTCCAAGAGAGGAAGGCGGGGGGGGGGGGACCTTCCTGGGAAGGGTTGGAAGGACCTGAGTGCATAAGGCCCCATGAGGCTGATGGGTGACCTCTAGTAAGCTTAGCTTGTGTGTGTGTGTGGTGGTGGTGGCGGGGGGTTTGATTGTTTTCCTTGTAATGCTTTCACCTCAGGAATACATGTGCTTGCTGGGAACGTATAGCTGCTGGCAACACACTGTTCAGGGAAATCACAGTGTAGGCAGGGAACTGTGCAGCCTGGAAAAACTCTGCTCAGGAGGGAGGAAGACATGGGTCTCTACCAACCGTGGTGATGGCGGAGGAGCCTAGAAAGGGGACTCTTGATAGACCATGAGAGGAAATACAGGTGCAGTTGTCCTGAACTGCTACAGTAGCCGCTTGTCAACACAAATTGCCGTTGCTGAGGCACGATCCTACAGTAAAGGAACCCAGCACTTCCACAAAGCGTAGCATAGTAACGACTCAGTCCCCTAAATAATCTGAGCTAGTCAAATAAAGCTGTGAGGCAACAGCCTTCAGTTCTTAAAACTGTGTTTAGTGGCTGGCTGCCTTCCAAACTCCAGGGATCTACAATGGGTTTCCTGTTCCCACGAAAGGGAAGGAAAGGAGGCAGGTGGACACACCCCACTCCCCTCCACAAGCCCTACCTGTATAGCTGTTTCCGCTTCAGCCTCGTGGGCAGATCCGGCAAGTCTTCGGGCTCCTTGTTCAGACAGACCCAGGCGTGGAAGGCAAAGCCACTCCCAGGCCATTTCTGGATGGCCGGCACCATAATTCCCGCCATACTTGGCGTCAGGTCGAAGTACTGCAGCGCCCTCTCGGACCGGTCCTTACTCGCCATGCCAGAGAGCGCCCGGATGACCAGCGTGGTGTAAGGGTGGGGCCCCTTGCCGGGCTCGGCCCAGAGCAGCCCGATGAGCTGGCGGAGCTCGCCCGGCCGGATGGAAAGGCCGCCCAGCACCTGCAGAAGGTAGATGAGGTTTTCGGAGCACTTCCGGTCCAGCTCCTGCTCAGCGCCCAGGGCGTCCAGGAGGCAGCTGACCATCCCCGCCTTGACGCAGGTCACGCGGCTCGGCAGGGAGGCGTCGCAGACCCTCTTCAGCCAGTCGGAGAGGAACACCTGCAGGTCCCGTGACTTCAGCTCGGGGAGCCACGCGATGAGCATCAGCAGCGGCTGCTCGTTGCGGATGAGTCGGACGGGGAAGGCGCTGTGGTCGCCTTCTACTGCCTGGCGAGACAGAAGCCACAGGGTCACGTCCCTCAGCCCAAGGCCCACCTCCCCGCTGCCCTCCGGCGGGGTCAGCGCTCAGCCCACGGACGGGCCACCGGGGTCAGTGGCACTTGTGCTGCCGCAATGCCTCATGGGGCATTCCAAACCATGGAGAACGCCATCCCACCACGCACGGCAGCGTCCGTAGACGACTAGCGTCTCCGTATACTGGGAGCGCACAAGCTAAAGGGGAGGACACGTGACCGCCCCCCCACGTGTCTCTCCTGCCCAGTGACCCGCCCCCCAGCCCGGGGCCGCAGCGCTCTCCCTGCCCCATGTTATCTGCGGTGGGGGGGCTCTCGGTCCTCCTCTCCCTGCGTCTCCCCCGTGAACGTTCGCGGGATGAAGCTGCTGCTGCCTCCCAGCCAGGCTCCCTCAGGCAGAAGCCGCTCCATTCCACTCCCCACCCAGCTGCCAGGGAGAGAAGGACAGAGTTCCTCTCCCTCCCTGCCCCTGGCATGCCAATCTAGGGGGGCACTTGACCCCCCCCCATACTCCCCCATGCGTCGCCTATGGCAGTGTCTATGCACGACTCCACACAGACTGGCAGGCGCATCGCACCAAGGCTCAGCTGAGAAGCAACTGGGTATGTAGGTCACGTGCAGGCGGGGGGGGGGATGACGGGGGAGGTGAGAGGGGCACCGGGCCAGCAGAGGAGGGGGTGTGAGGCTCCCACCAGCCCTAGCTCATCACGAGCTGTGGAAATGGCACCTTGCAATCCCAGACACCACCAGGGTACGTGAGCTGCTCCACCCACAGGACGCACATGACGTACAGTGAGGTTTGCCCCGTCTGGAGGCTGGGACACCGATAGAGGGTTATGAGCTAGCTACTGCTGCCCTGATCCTGGAAGGTTGGCTCAGGCATTAAAAGGCGCGTGAGTTTAGATCCAGAGGTCCTGGGTTCACCCTGCACCCGAGCCAACCAGGGGCATCACTGTAGAGGGAATTTGATTATGGATGAATTCCCCCTCCCACCCACGGTGTGGAAATATTTTATCAGCCAATTAAGACTTCTGGACAAGGCAGCACCTAGACATGCGAATGCCCCAGAACAGCACCTCTGGAGTCCTTGTGAAGACACAGAAATGGCTTTGCTGTTTGGCAGCTACGTCCATTTCTTTATTAGTCGCATGGCAATAGCACCAGGGCCCCAATCCTGGATCAGGGCCCCCACCCAAACCTCTTCACTGCTATACTCATGGTTTGCAAGTGGAACGCTCTCAACGGCTCCCTGGCTGTCCTTTCCCATCAGACCCAGATCCTTATTAACGTCCCCCTTCATGCTCTATCCCCCAGTGCCACAGGCCCCCGGCGTGCTTTAATTAGTCTGTTCCCAGCGATGTGACGAAGCAGCTGCTTTTGAGGAAGCCAAGCGCTGCGGATGATGGTATCGCTTGAATGGACGTCAGAACTGCGGCCGAGGCCTCCCATAACTTGCAAACGGAGAAATAACCTTTTGTGTTTCTAACATGAGAACTCTGCTGCCTTATCATTGTCAAGGCATCTTCCCCCAGCAAGGCTTTCTTCCTGCCCTTTGTATTGCCAACTGTCTTCAGCTGACAAGACAATTAAGGGAAGTGGCTCATTCTGCGAGCTCCCCCTCCTCTGGGACCTAGAGTAATCGGGTCTCTTCCGTGGAAAGCAGAGAAATCTTGACCCCGATCTCTAGAGGGAAAGCCAAGGGCTATGCCTGACACGCTGCACCAGAGACAAACGAACAGGTGGAACGGATGCCTCATTCGTATTCCTTTGATTGTATTGGGGCCCTTTGCTCATGTCTAGGGCCCTACCAAATTCACAGTCCATTTTTTACGGTCATAGCATTTTAAAAATCAAATTTCTTGATTTCAACTATTTAAATCTGAAATGTCACGGTGTTGTAATTGTAGGGGTCTTGACCCAAAAAGGAGTTGGGGGGGGGGGTTTGCAAGGTTATTGGTGTGTGTGTGTGCGGGAAATCGCGGTACTGCTACCCTTACTTCTGCGCTGCTGCTGGCGGTGGCGCTGCCTTCAGAGCTGGGCAGATGGAGAGCCGCGGCTGCTGGCTGAGTGCCCAGCTCTGAAGGCAGAGCCAACGCCAGCAGCAGTGCAGAAGTAAGAATGGCCTGGTATGGTATTGCCTCCCTTACTTCTGCGCTGCTGCCCGCAGAGCTGGGCCCTCAGTCAGCAGCCGCCACTCTCCAGCCGCTCAACTCTGAGGCAGCAGCGCAGAAGGGTGGCATGATATGGTATTGTCATGCTTGCTTCTGCACTGCTGCTGGCGGGGTGCTGCCTTCAGAGCTGGGTGCCCGGCCAACATCTGCCGCTCTTAGGGTGACCAGATGTCCCGATTTTATAGAGACAGTCCCGATTTTTGGATCTTTTTCTTATATAGACTCTTATTACCCGCTGTCCTGATTTTCACATTTGCTGTCTGGGCACCCTAGCCTCTCTCCAGCCACCCAGCTCTGAAGGAAGCGCAGAAGTAAGGGTGGCAATACCGCCACCCCCTTAAAATAACCTTGCGACTTGCCTGCAACTCCCTTTTCGGGTCAGGACCCCCAATTTGAGAAGCGCTGGACTCCCCCGTGAAATCTGCACAGTATAGGGTAAAAGCACACAAAAGACCGGATTTCACGGTCCGTGACGGGTTTTTCATGGCCGTGAGTTTGGTAGGGCCCGACTCATGCCGCAGGGAGCAGTACCATCTCACGGACATGGCTCGGGGCTAGGAGACAGGAGATGGGCTCTATCCCAGCTCTTACAGACGTGCTGTGCCATCTTGGGGCAGCTCCAGGTCCATTAACGGGTATAACTATTCTTAGCTGCCTTTGACCTCTACTTGTGCGACGCTGGAAGCATGACGGCTCTGCAGCTGGCCGGGTCGTTTCCAGCTCGGGTGGACACACGCACACGTGGCTTTTGTTGAGCTTGCGGGCTAATAACACAAGCGTCGAGGCGGCAGCGTGGGTGGCAGGATACGTCCCTAGAATCCCAGGCGGGAACATGCTAGGGGCAGCTAGCCCATCCCGCCAGGACTACACTTCTGTCTTTAGCGCACTAGCTTGCGGAAAGCTAGCTGGGTACGTCCATCTGAGCTGGAACTCACACCTGCAGCTCAAATGTAGCCATGCCCTCCGGAAGAGCCCATCCCAGGGCACGTAAACCCACTCGGAGAACAGCCCCCAGGCACGCGTTCTGTCCTACGCCGCCTTGGTTCCAGGGCGTGCTGGAAACGAGGGAGCTGCCTGATTCAATGGAACTGGGGGGCAGGGCTCCCTGCACTTGTGGTTTTAAAACCGGGCCCGTGGCGCTCACGGGAAAGAGCTTTTCCTCGCGGCGATGCGGACCGAGGATTCCTGACGCGCTACACAATGGTGTGTGTGTGGTGAGTGTCACTCCCGATCGTGCCCTCGATCTTCAGAGCGAGGACACAGCTGCAGTTACTCACCCGGCTGGGTTAGCGCACAAGGCAGGGACGGAGGGTGGTATTGGCACGGGTACAAAACAAACCACAGGTCAGCAAACATGGCACGGCCAAATGCCCACCTGGCTCCAAGGGGGGGGCTTGCAAAGGACAGACTATAAAAGGTCAGGCCCATGGAATCCCCACCACTGTCCTGGGAGTGAAGAGGGACCAGCAAAGGACCGTGCTCAGTAAGGAAGGAGAACAGCTGCCTTTTATTACTGCACTGGTCTGCCCGTGAGAAAGCAGATGGGCTGCAACCCATGCGTCTCCCCCCATGCCCAGCAGTCCTGCATTAGCAAAAGCCGTGGGTGAGTCACCAGCAACGGGGATTGAACTCAGGACCTCTGGCTCTAAAACAATCAGCCTCTACTGAGACAGTACCAGATTCAAGCCCCTAGCCCTGGCCTGGCCAAACAGCCGTGTTGTAGCATCCCCGGCCCCGCCAATCCCGTTTGGGGAACGGGACACTTGGGGCCGGGCATTGCAAAGCCATGAGCCGCCCCGCAGCAGAGCTCAGCCCTTACCATGTTCAGGAGCTCCTCAAGCAGGCGGGCGGTGGGTTGGCTCTGGCATCTGAGAACTTCGTACAAGTGGGAGTAGCCGATCCTTTCTTTGAACACCTCCTGGAAGCAAGACACGCAGCCACGTTCAGTGCACGCCACGGCCCCATACACCCGAGCACAGGGCAGGGCGTGGAACCGGAACCCATTCGAAACGGGCTTTTTACTTGAACTGGAACCAAACTAAAACCAGAAGTCTGTCCTATCTAGAACCTGAACTGAAGGAAGATTGGGGGGTTATCAGTTAAAATAAAGGGTCTGCATTTTTTACGATCAATATTTAAAAAAACAACAACTGATCTTATTGTCATTATTAAACAACAAAATAACCAGCAGGCCTGGGCTGCCTCCCAGAAAGGCCTTGCCCCCTATAATGAGATGAAAATGAGAGAAGTAGACGACCAGCTCACAAGAGGAGGGAAGGAGAGGAGAAGCTTGGGGAGCTGCCTGCACACGACACGTTGCTACGTAAAAGGCCGCTCTCTGGTCCCAAAAGGTAAAATAACTCCTCACGCCTCCTTCCACCAGCCCCAGCACCTGGGGCAGCTCCTCCCTCCAGTCGCCCCACTTGAGGCAGGGCCCAGGCTCCAAACTCAGATTTATTCCTTCACTGCAGAGGTCCAAGATGAAAGAGCAAATATCGGCGGATGCTGTTTGAGTTTTCCCAAAATAATCCTGTTGATTTGACAATGCAAAAAAACACACCAAGAAAACTCACATAAAGTTAAAAAAATAAATGGTCAAAAAAAAAAAATCTAAAGTTTTTCACTTTTAAGTTTCAACTCGCTTTTTTCAATGTACTTCCACTCGGACTGGAATTTGATTGGAACCCGTTCAAACTGGTCACCGTTATCGTTTTTCGGTGGCACACTGAATACAACCAAACCTGAGCCGAGCCATACCAAACCCAGGTCCAACTCCGTGGTAATGGAACTAGAACGGGAGTTAAAAAACAGCCACCTGGTACAGTTTGTTCAAAACCACTCAGGAAGGGTACGTCTACACGGCACCCTCATGGAGGCATGAAGCATACCTATAGCTGGGTTGGGGAGTGTGCAGCCTAAACAGCATGACTTAGGTGAGTAGGGTACAGACCCACCAGAACTGTAGGGTATGTACCCTACATGGCTCTCGATGCACTCAAACGGTGCCTCCTCCAGCTACACTTCTTTCTTTCTTTCTTTCTTTCTTTCTTAGAGCAATGTAGTGTCCTGCTGCCTACCTGCTGCCGGAGCCTTTTCCCATTGCCTGTCCCCACCAGGGCCTTCACTGCCCCCGTGTAGCTACACACTGCAGCATGCACGCAGCCTGCTTTTCACTGCGGTGTGTAGCTATATTGACCCTACACGCTGCCGCCAGTGTAGACAAGGCCTAGGAGACCACTGAATCGTGTGGTGATTCTTCACCAAGCTCTCAAGTCCAATCCTAGGGCCTCCTCCTACAGACGCTTCTTACCAGGTGCGTGCCGCTGAAGCACCAGTCGGCCCAAACTCCCAGAAACACGGACAGAACTGAGCTCCCAAAGAGCAGACTACAGACACAGAAGCCCGCCAGGAAAATGACTACAGAGCCGAGACAACACGGAATGCTGGAATTATCAAAGGAGGTTTTAAAAGATAACCAGAAATCTACCAACAGCTCAGTTTTATTTAACACAAAAAGCATCTAATGGAGACAACAGTCAAAACAAAAAAACCCTCTGACAAGATCCAGTCAACTGGTGACTAGACAGGACACAGGGCTGGAAGGGACCTCTTCAGGCATCAAGTCCATTCCCCTACATCACAGGCATCCAAAAATTTATCCAGCATCCTCTTCAAACTAGTTTGGTTGTTTGCCCCTACTTCTCCTATTGGGAGGCTGTTCCAGGACCTCCCTACTCTGATGGTTACAAACCATCTTCTCATTCCCAGCCTAAGTTTATTCCTGGCTAGTTTATCCCCATTTGCTCTGTCCTTTAGTTTGTACAGCTCTTCTCCATCCCAGAGTGCTGAGATCACCCACGGCAAGAACCAACGGCAAGGCCGTGAAAGTTCAAGACACCAGCAGACGTTTTCGTTCCCAGACTCAACTTTCAGGGCAGAGTGGTTTGGATGGTTTCAGTGACCCCCTGACCCTTCCACATTTGTCGTGCCAGAAGCTCCCATTTTAGAGATGCCTAGATTGCCCGGATCACCCTCACCGGGAGGAGTATCTGACTTTGCCCGGATTCCCAATAATGGCAAGGTGAATATCCACAGACTAGGACACTGCCCTTCAACCTACACGACATGGACTAGCACGGCCTATCCTACAGCACAAAATGAAACCCAGCCACACCTAGCAGTAGGAGCTCTCTTTTGGACATCATCTCCCCCAGTATACTCCACCTACACGTTTCATCCCTCTCCCCCACCTTTACAACCGAGCAGAACCACCAAGGGGGTCAGCCTCCCGGCTTCTTACCTTGGCCGACGGTGAATTGCTCATGATGGAGGTGAGCACACTGATGGCATGAACCGTGATAGCGTCGGAACTGCTGTCGAACACCTAAAGACAGGGGAGAAAGCGAGTGATGATCATGTGGTGACCCCGGCCTATTAAAATCCGCTGGGCTGGCAGGCCAATCTGCCCGTTTTCACAGCTCCACCGCAACATGAGCCAAGCCCTGAACTACAAGGTCACACTGGGGGCTTGCGAGCAGAGAAGAGCTTCAAGTCGGGTCAGGTCAAGTCGGTAGCCGCAGGGCCGACAAGCACACTCATGCACCGGTGCGAGATCCGAGCTCAGACCCGCTAAGCCGCTGACAGCCTGAGCAGCCGCAGTTCTCGCACGAGCTGTGGCTAGCCGGCCCCTCAGAGAAATCAGACCACGAACCTGTCACTGGCCAACAGGGAGCGGCCAGGATTTTTCTCTCTTTACATCGTGTCAGTGATGGGGAGAAACCACCAGTTCACTCAGGTTCATCCCTGAGCAAACCCGCCTGGCCACAGGCAGTTGGGACAATCCTCGTTCCGCAGGTGCCAAAGCTTTCATCCCTACTTACTCAGAGCCACCAAAGGAGCTAGGGGCTAACGGACGCCTAGGATTAGATAGGAGAGAGATCCATACAGTGCCACAGCTGTACCTGACCTACAGGAAGGAAGGGTCTCATGTCCCCCATCCCTCCCTGAACCCCAGGGACTAGATTCTCTTTGGCAGGCAGGATTTACGGGGAGCACGCTATTTATCTGAGATAACGCCCCCCCGCACACCCAAACTTTGGGAGAATTCAGATTCCCGTCGTCAGGCTCAGATCCACCCGTTTAATATTAAACTCTGCAGGTCACCTCTAGGGACCACACGGCAACGCTCTCACATGCAGACACATGACGGGTACAGGAGATGACCGCAGGGTAGCGGGGTCGTTCCGTGCCCCCTGCCTTCATCTGCTGCTTTACCTTGCAAAGAAATTCAGTCCAACTGGGCCTTGCCCCTCAGGGCAGATCCATTCTCCCTGGGGCTGTTCAAGGCCGATGGAAGACTGTTACCCAGTAGGGGCTGGGAGGGAAGAGGGAATGGAGTGGTTTTTAATCAGGGGGAGGGATAGCTCAGTGGTTTGAGCATTGGCCTGCTAAACCCAGGGTTGTGAGTTCAATCCTTGAGGGGGCCGTTTGGGGCAAAAAAAGAAAGTTGGGGATTGGCCCTGCTTTGAGCAGGGGGTTGGACTAGATGACCTCCTGAGGTCCCTTCCAACCCTGATATTCTATCCAGCCTCTGTTGTGATCCTGTGACCCCTTCGGGGGCTGGGGAGATTCAGGGGGCTATTCCCAGGTTGGGTCCTTTCCCCTACAGGGGCGGCTAGAGAGTGAAGTGCGGTCTGAGAAAGATGCACAGAAGCCCCAAGAGGAAACATCTGGAGGACAGAAGGAGCAGGGCCCTGCCAGACAGAGCGCAGGGCATCCCTGGAGCCAGAGGCGGGACGGCAGGAACAGGGGTAGATGGAGGTACACGCAGCTGCTACCTCCAGGAGCACAGAGGACGAGCCAGAAAGCGGAGATTTCCTGCACCCGCTGCCATTAGCAGGGGGTTGACTTCAGTAGGGGCAGGATGCCAGCTGAGGAAGGGGAGTGGTTCTTTGTGGAAAACACTGCCACCGCTCACAGGTCAGCCCCGGAAGGGAGGTTTGTGCCCCGGGATCCGAGGCCTAGGACTGCTGGAGCCTCCGGGGCGTTTGAGAAGGGAGCTGTCGGAGCAACATGGCTCCGCGAGCGAGCGAGAGGCAAAACGTGCAAGCGCCGCCTCCGCGTCCTGGGCTCGGCTTTCCCTTTTCTCCACGATCCGGGGCACGGCCGCCGTGCCCTGAGACCCCACCCCCGCCCTTCCTGTGGAAAACAGCCAGCCCCCAGTGAACGCTGAGACACGCTCCCCAGCTTTCAGCCTCCTGGCCCAATGCTCCATTGTGTCCCCAGGTTTATCTAGGCTTTAAAACCCCAGCTCAACCTGGGGAGGGGTTGGGGGAAAGGGGAGAGCCTCTATTAATTTTCTCTTCTGGCCAGAAGTGACAGGATATTTCTGGTAAGAAAGAGGGAGACTGGGCCAATTCCAGGAGTCTAATCTTTTGGACTGGCGGCTTTTTCTATCCCTGCAATAGCCAGGACCACTCAAGATGCATCGCCCAGCGACCTGTAAAATAAAGAGGTGCAGCCAAGTAGCAGAGCTTACGTGGAGCGACTACGGCCGTCTCTCATCTCAGAGCTGTAAGGGACCCCCCTCCTCTGAGATGCAATGGAAAGGGGAACCGTCATGCTTTGCATGCAAACCGAGGTTGGGTTGCCAAAGCGTCACTACCAAACAGCGCAGGAAGCGGTACGCCGCGGCCGCTGGAGGCAGCTCGGCTCAAGGGAACGCCGGGCTTGGAGGGAAGGAGCTGGCAGAGGAAAGGTGGCTGGCGATGGGAAGGGTCTGAAGCAAAGGCAAGATCCTACCCAAAACAGGAGACGCTGATCGAGGGAATCAGTGAGGGGTTCCCCCGGCCTGTTCATCCGACCTGGGTCATTCCCCCACAGGCCGCCCCCTTCAGGGTCTCAAACACTTTCACTCAGCTCGGGCCCAAGGAGGGTTCTGCAGACCTCGAGCGGCCCCGAGGACCAGTGGCATAAACAGATCAAGAGGTCACCAGGCCAGTTGGTTAGGGCTTGTTCCCATCCCCTGTCCCTGAAGCATGCGAAGGTGGAGGAGAAAGAGGGTTAGCCTCAGAGAACTCCTTTTCTGGTGAGCTGTACAAGCTCCGCAAGGGTTTCTCTACACCGCCCCCCTCCCCCAGAGCCCTCAGCCCACTCCCCAGGGAAAGCCACAAAACCCCGCTCCCAAGATGCGCATGCATGTTGCAAACCCGGGAGAAGTTTAAAACCAAACGACAAGCTTTCCCACAGCCGGAGCCCGGAGGCAGGGAAGGAGAGGGAACATTTTATGGCTCCCTTGGTTTTCTGTAATTAAATTGTATTGTGAGCCACCGGCTGTTAATACTTCTCAGCTGTTCCATCTGGCCAGGCCTGCCTTCCTCCGTTAGGAGATTATCTTTGCTCCCTTCCTCGGGAGGGACAGGCTAAGTGGCTTCTCCAGGAAGTTGCTGCTCAATGAAGAGCCTGTCTGCCCAGGCACAGCCCCCGGCTTCGGAAAACCTCTCTCGGTTCCCTAGCTACCAAGCTGATAAGGAAGGAGGAAATGGGAACGCAGGCCAGAGCCTCCCAACCAGGGGGGGGGGCTCCATCTACTGAAAAAAAAAAAAAAATCCATTTCAATTCTCGCCAGGCTGGGAATTCAGGAACAAGGTCAGGGAGCGTGTGTGAGGGGGAGACGCCGTTTATAAGCACAGGCTGCAGGAGAATTACTCCAGGCCGTTCATGCAACAGGGCCCTTAGAACTAGGAGGGGACAGAGACCCCCCCCCATCACTCAATAGCCCCACTGGGGGAGCTACCCAAGACCCCTAGGGGCAACTGGCGTTAACTGCCAGCGCGACACTGATTTCAACGGAGCGACGCCTGTTCACACCAGCTGAGGATCTGGCGCGTGCTCCGGATTGTTTCTCCTGAACAGCGGTGCCCCAAGCGTCCGGGGTTCGAGGGGAGGAAGGACGGAGCTCACTACAGGTCTGCCCGGTGTCGCCCAACAACAGGGCATTTTTCAACGCCCAATATTAATGTCGAGCCCTTTCCTCTCTAGCGCATGCCTGATCAGTTGCCCTATCATACTTAAGGGGCTTTTAGGGGGGTGGGGGGCAGCAATGGAAGGATTTTAGAAGACGTCCAGTTTGACATAAGATTTGGAAAGGGCATATTCAAGGCAAAGGTGGATTTTATGGGCCCAATCCTGGGTCCTCAGCGCCTCTCGCGGCAGCACTGCACGCCCGTCCACTCCCACGGAAATTGTTGGGATTCGAGGACGCTTGGCACCTTACAGGACTGGGCCCAGCCCTCCTGACAACACCGCTTGGAAATCTACTCCCAGGAGGGCCCCGGGGTTCCTGGCTAATGGCGTAGGATGGAACCAGCCGGCGGCTCTCTGTTTATAACAGTGCGCTGGGCTAGTCTCCCGGCCGTCAACCTGATGGGCTTGGGTTACTTCAGATATTCCCTTTCTAAGCCTGCCCTCCTGTTCCCCGGTTGCCACGCACGTGGAAGGCTGAGAAGTAAGTAACAGCGAGCCCTCGCCGGGCGGCTCTCTTGGATCCAACGGGCGACCGCGCTATCTCCCCCTCCCCCCCCCGCAGGCGAGCCAGGACGTATTCAGAGCGATGGACGTGAGACTAGCGCGACACGCGCACACACACACACACACGTGATTGGTGCAGGCTCATTCCCAAAGTGCCATCACCTTGCACAAACCAGGGATGTCAGCGCCAGGGACGTCCAAATGGAACGGTGGATTTCCCCCCCCCCATATTTTAGCCTCTGAATCCATCCTCCGTCTTAAAAAGAGACAGCGGAAGAGAGCAGGGTAGTAAGTACCTGCTCCAACACAATGCCCTTGGAAATCATCGGCTGCTCCCTTTCCCCAGGCTCTGGGGCACCCCAGCCCCTTTCCTAGGCTATTAGGAAAGCAGCCAAGAGCGGGTTCAAAGAGCCTCGCAAAGCCATCGGCGAGGTGCGATGGCTGGGTTATTTCTCACCTAGTCACGGGGTACAGGAGACCTGCCTTGGGCACAAGACTATGGCAGGGGCCAGTCGTGCTGTGCTGCCAGAGCTTAAAATCCACCCGGGCTCCCAAAGCAGGCACTGAAGGTCCGGCAGGATGGGGAGGGGGCAGGATGGGCTGGCGGGGAAGGCACTGGACTGGGACCCAGGAGATCTGGGTCCAATTCAGCTCAGCTTGGCAGTGACCTTGGGGAAGGATGGATTGCCTTCCTCTGGAGTGCAGGGCACTTGCTGGGGTTCTCTAGGTATCTCTACCTTTGCAGGGGCATCGGGCACTAGTGCACCTCGGTCCTTGATAGTCTATGCTTGGGGCCCATCATAGTCTAGTCTCCTGCGGGCTGTGATACTTCGGTCTCAGTTCAGTTTCGGTTGGGAGGGCTGATGGGAGTGGCCCAGGTCATGCGAGAGGCCAGAGCAGATGATCTTCTGGCCTTGAACTTCATGACTCTGACTCTAGGACTCCATGCAGCACTCTGCCTCAGTTTCCCCATCTGTAAAAGGGGGAGGAGAATACCGGCCTGTCTCTCGCTCCTAGGGCTGTTGGGAGGCACTATGGTACTATGAGCAGAGCGCATCCATAACGGTCGGCTCGGCTCAGAGATCCAGTCCCGGTCTGTGTGAAGGCAAAATGAATTTTAGCAGGGGCGGGCGAAGGGTAAGGTTGTGTGGTTTAGACAGGGGCCTGCCAGGCACCCACCTCGCTCCATTGCCAGCCCCTGGGGCTTTGCCTCAGTTTCCCCAATCAGGGCCAAGCCCTTGGGGACAGAAAGCACCAAGCAAGGATAAAATCTCACCCTCCATTTGGGATACGCAACCCCCCATCCAAGCCAACAGGTGCTGGGCCAGCTCAGGTCTTATTTCCTTCCCCGCTCTAGCTGGACGGTGCAGGGAGAACTTGCCTGACAGCTGGGCGCAGAACCACGGGCAAAAGCGTGGCATCCCCTCTCCCTCCATCCATCCCCCCCGGGCTTGATGGCGCTGCTGACATCACCCGGTTTGTTGCAGCGGAAAAGAAATTAACGAAAGCAGCCACAGCCTGAGCGTTGCCCTGGCCACCACCAGTGACGTGCAATACCTTCTGGACATCGCTCTCGGTCAGTAAGCGTGCGGCGAGCTCGCTCCCCGTCTCGTCCGCTTTACGCGCCCCGCTCACGTAGAGCTGTCGAAAAGGTGGGCAGAAAAGCTTACGTCAGCCACGGGGAAAGAGAGAGAGAGAGGGTTAAGCACACCACAGACGGGCACACCTAGGAGGAACCAGCCGGGTTTCCAACTGCGCTGCATCGTCGCTGGGACACCGCTCCAACCTGGACGCCCTCCCAGAGCCAGAGGGTGCAGCGATCTGGGACAGGGTCCAGGGGAGAGATACTGACCCCCATAGGCCCTGGATCAGGTTCTAAACTCTGGCCTGCAGCCTGCCTCTGACATATGGTTTATGAAGTCTCGTCTCTGCAGCCTCAGATCAGCTGGCATTTCTCCTGTGCACTGACTTTAAATGGCAGGGTAGAGCATGGCGGGGTGGGGTCGGGGGGGGGTGGGGGGGAAACAAGGCAGATCCTGAAATCTTGATGCTGGAAGTGGATTGTAAAACAGCCTGGTAGCAATTGCTCCTGGGAACCGGCAATGGGGCTTTCCCCTCCAGGTCACTGACCCGAAGGCCACCCGGGTAAGTAGCACCCAGTAACCCCCGCTGTTTAGTGGCATCTATGAAGCAAGTTTGGGGGGAATCTCACGCCAGCTGCCACGCACATCACAGAGACCGCCACCGGCACCTCTGCCGTAAGCCTCCACGGAGCAGGCCAGAGACAAGGAACGCGGATGGGGCAGCATGTGCATGGGGAAGGCTGCATTCTTCCAGTCTTGGCTGCGGGGATAATACAGGGCTCGCCAATTTAGGGCTTCAGTCTGGCCCCGTCGACCAGCCTGAGTCAATTTGCTTTCAAGAACCGGATTGTCATTGTCTTCTCCGGCTCTTCCCAGTACGGCAAGGCTGGGCAGAAACCAGCGAGGATCAGAGGAATTGGAATGCCTTGTCAAAAAAAAGAGAGTCTCAAGCGCCCTTGCTCTGTGCCAGGTTCCAGGGCTCGGTCTCTGTTCTAGCTTTTAGGGGGGCAGAGGAAGGAAAGCTGGACTCATCTGGGGAGCAAAGATCAGGACACAGGAAAAACAGGCCCTTCTCTGAACTATCAGCAGTCAGGTTCTGCTCTCCACCGTCACGCCAGCACAGCGCCGGAGCCAGGCCACTGCAATCAGCGGTGTTACTCTCGGCGTGACAGCATAACTGAGCTCCAAATCCATCCCTGGGTGCCTGGAGAGGGGGTGATCTCTGAAACCATCCCAGGGCACAGAGTCATTTAGCAGTGTTGTGAACATGTTGGGCAGCAGGCCAAGCAGCTTCCACATAGATTATTCCATGGCTAACGTGAGGCCAGACCCAAGTGACGCCGGCTACGTGAACGAAACACTGATTCTTCAGGATTGGGCCCACGTGCAACCCAAGATCGAAAAGCATCACATGGTTATGTGCACAGGTGATGTCCGGTTACCCTGCAGAGTAGACCTTAGTCCCCCCTGCTAAGTGCAGTCTCCCTCTGCTACCAGCCATTGCTCCCCTAATCTCAGAGTAGCTGTCACTCCCTCCCTGCATTGTGGGGCTTGCTGGAGGGGTATCGCTTGGAGGTTTCAGTCTTAACTCACCGCCAATGTATTAAAATACCATCAGGCATGGTGTTGAGTCACCTACGCAGCCTGTCTTTCCCACAATCCCCTGGGATCTCACTTCATGGTGACAGCGCCCTGGAAAGATGGGGAATGGCTGGCCTCGACAATCAGCTACGTCTCAACATGGGGTCTGGAGGACCAGCCTTTGCACAGACAGCATCATTTCACAAATACGAACGGCAATGGCTCACAGAGCCCTAGGCAGACACGCAGACTGCCAGGGAGAGACAAACATCCATATCTGCCTCCCACCCCCAAGGCCATGTCGTAGGACGCTGGAGAACCAAGGCGGGGTCCCTCCCCTGGGGGGACCTTCACACGGTCTAATGGATCTCCCCATTAGGAGACTTGCCCCACGATTTCATTTGAGATTTACCTTTGCTCTAGGGCTGTCAAGTGATTAAAAAAATTAATCGCGATTATTCGCGCTGTTGAACAATAGAATATCATTTATTTTAAATATTTTTGGATGTTTACTACATTTTCAAAGATATTAATTTCAATTATAACACAGAATACAAACTGTACAGTGCTCACTTTATTTTTGATTACAAATATTTGCACTATAAAAAACCAAAAAAACAGATGTATTTTTCAATTCACCTCATACAGGTACTGTAGTGCAATCTCTTTACCATGAAAGTTGAACTTACAAATGGAGAATTATGTACAAAAAAAACACATTCAAAAATAAAATAATGTAAAATTTTAGCGCCTACAAGTCCACTCAGTCCTACTTGGTCAGCCAATCACTCAGACAAACAAGGTTGGTTACAATTTGTAGGAGATAATGCTGTCTGCTTCTTGTTTACAATGTCACCTGAAAGTGAGAACAGGCGTTTGCATGGCACTGTTGTAGCCGGCATCGCAAGATATTTACGTGCCAGATGCGCTAAAGATTCATATGTCCCTTCATGCTTCAACCACCATCCCAGAGGACACGCATCCATGCTGATGACGGGTTCTGCTTGATAATGATCCAAAGCAGTGCGGACTGACGCATGCTCATTTTCACCATCTGAGTCAGATGCCACCAGCAGAAGGTTAATTTTCTTTTTTGGTGGTTCGGGTCTGTAGTTTCAGCATCAGAGTGTTGCTCTTTTAAGCCTTCTAAAAGCATGCTCCACACCTCATCCCTCTTAGATTTTGGACGGCACTTAAGATTCTTAAACCTTGGGTCGAGTGCTGTAGCTATTTTTAGAAATTTCACATCGGTACCTTCTTTGTGTTTTGTCAAATCTGCTGTGAAAATGTTCTTAAAACGAACATGTGCTGGGTCATCATCCGAGACTGCTATAACATGAAATACATGCAGAATGGGGGTAAAACAGAGCAGGAGACATACAGTTCTCCCCCCAAGGAGTTCTGTCACAAATTTAATTGATGCATTATTTTTTTAAGGAGCATTATTAGCATGGAAGCATGTCCTCTGGAATGGTGGGCGAAGCACGAAGGGGCATATGAATATTTAGCATATCTGGCATGCAAATACCTTGCAACACCGGCTACAAAAGTGCCATGTGAACATCTGTTCACATTTTCAGGTGACATTGTAAATAAGAAGCAGGCAGCATTATCTCCCGTCAATGTAAACAAACTTGTTTGTCTTAGCGATTGGCAGAATAAGAAGTAGGACTGAATGGACTCGTAGGCTCTAAAGTTTTACACAGTTTTGTTTTTAAGTGCAGTTATGTAATCAAAAAAAATCTGCATTTGTTAGTTACACTTTCACAATAAAGAGATTGCACTTCAGTACTTGTATGAGGTGAACTGAAAAATACTATTGCTTTTGTTTACCATTTTACAGTGCATATATTTGTAATAAAAAATAATATTAAGTGAGCACTGTGCACTTTGCATTCTGTGTTGTAATTGAAATCAATACTGAAAATGTAGAAAAACATCCACAAATATTTAATACATTTCAATTGGTATTCTATTGTTATAAGTGTGATTAATCGCGATTAATTTTTTAAAATCACGATTAATTTTTTTGAGTGAATCGCGTGAGTTAACTGCGATTAACAGCCCGGACTTTACTCAGTTCCATCTCATTACATCCAGTTATCCCATCCTACTGCAGAGTCGCAGAAGATCTCCTGAAAGCCTCATAACAACAGAACCCTACTAGTTCTCCAGTTGTCCATAGCGTCCTCCCGGAAAGACAGGGTGGACAAGACCTGAATTTGGAATGGAACAAAACCAAGCAGGAATAATCGTCAGGGCCTCTCTGTTCTCCACAGAGAAGTTCAAAGAGGGCAGAGACATTTCAAATGCCTTGTCCGAGGCCCCAGCTGAGCCCTTCCTACTATACTCAGGTGAGGGCTAATGCTCACTGTCAGAAAGCAGTTGTACTAGGGTTTTGTTCTGCTGCCGAGAGCAGCCCCAGCGTTTGCTTTCCAGTCAGGCTCTGAGATAACGGGCTACGTGTCCGGTTATGCTGTGTCTCTGGTCCCTTTCCGATGCACGGAGGGTGAAGCAGCAGGGGAAAGAAGATGCATCGCTGTTTGTAGCGAGGCAGCAAAGCCGCCAAAGGAAACTTCCGCCTGCAGGGCCAACAGCAGATTAATGCAGAGGCACTGGGCTCTGGGGCTGGCGTGCTGAGCGGGCAGCAGTGAGTTACTGGGAAGGGAAGATCGGGGAACCCCGGAGAGCAGGCTGGGAGGGCAAATCACTAGGGATCTGCGGAAGGAAGCTCAAAGGAGACAGTTACAGGAGGCTGCTCAGCACAAATGGGGACTTGGGTCGCCTGCGAGGGCACCCATAGAACGGTCCCGAAAGCAATCTGGAGTGCAGGTGATGCAGCCAGTCTGCGAGTTGCTGCATCGAGCTGGGGGCAGATGGGATCAGAGAGGAAGGACAAGGATTCGCGGCCCAACACCTCATATTGCCGACACTGCTTTCCTCCCTTGACCACAGGAGTCACTACTGAGCAGCACAGAGCCCTGGAGAGCAGCCTGCTCCTTGCATTTAAAAAGCCCACGATCCAAGTTGCCTGCTGTGAGTTACCCTCCTCTGCTCCCCCGTCTCCCAGCAGCAGCCTGCGTCGGACACGGATTAGCCAGCAGCTCCTCCGTCAGCGGCAGTTCTGCCAAGGACAGGACCGGAGCTGCCATTTCCCCGGCAACAGCAGCAGCTGGAGATGGCATCAGATGACGGCGAGAGGTGGAAAATCTTGTTAGCGTCCCCGATGATTGATCCCGCGGGCCTGGGGGAGCAAGGAGCAGCAGGGAGCAGAGCGCAATCTAATTGCACTTGATTCTTTGAAAGAGCCTGGGCGGGAGCTCCGAGACACAGCCAGCACGGGGCTGCTCGTCCTTCGGAGAACCCGCCTACCTGGCTGTGTTCCCCTCCACTGCACAGCACCGGCCCGCAGGCCCACAGCACCCTGCTGGGACACTCCGAGCACGCCCAAGACAAGCCGGCGGCTGCTGCAGACGCATGAGCCTGTGCCGAAGAGTTCGTGTAACATGCGCACTATTCCAGCCGTGCTGGGACAAAGGGACACCTAGAGGGCACATCTGAGAGAGGCGGGACCCGATCACGGGAGCCCTGAGTTCGCATCCTGGTTCTATTGCAGACTGCCTCCAAGGCCTCTGACAAGTCACTCCCACTCTCTGCCTCACCCCGCCCCCCACCAAGACCCCTAGAGCAGGGTGATGCCACCACCTATCCCCCTGCCAAGGGCTGATTACTGTGCATGAAGCCCATCGCAAACCGTACAGCACCAAGCACCCTCTTCAATAAGGTGAATGGCTCCAGACCTGCTAAACAATCGGTGCCACCCTGCACTAATCTGTTAGCTCTCCACCACTGGTTCTTGCGGCCGGCAAGGTGGCAAAGGTGCAGGGCTGCGGCGCTCATCGCAGCGCGCGACGTTCTGACAGATACACTCCCAGCCACGTGAACCCAAGTTCTGAAACACTCAGAACGGACGAAAGCCCTGGCAGGGCTGCGAAGGGCTAAGAGCGCTCCCACGACAGCCCGGATTTTAACAACAGAAGAAGAGCTGGTTCAGGGAATGCTGGAGCCACTCCTCAACTTAGAGCGCTGGCCTGTCTCCCCTCCCCAATTCCAAGCCACGTTCACCCGCACATCTTCGCCTGTTGCGAGGCCCCCTCGGATTCGCCACAGAAAAAGCTTCAGGTGTAGCTTCTTGTAGATCTAGGAATCTAGTTGGTAACGTGGCCAATTTCAGCCTCTCCTAGGGAAAAGACACCCTCTCTTCAGCTGCAAGTGTTTGCAACAGCACCCACTGGTGGTCACTGAGATTCAGAGCTTGCCCGAGTGGTACCTTATTGGTTGAAGCTGCTAAAATGAAGAGCCCCCCTGGATCGCCTGTTTTGAAAAGATGGGCTCTCAGTGCCAAACATGGGCAGGGGGCAGCTGGTGGGGGGGAGACACGTGTGACCAGTGCATGTTCTGAGCCACCACTCCGGTCAACGCCATAAATGGGAAAATTCCAGCCAACCCACACCTGGTTTGTTTAAACCGAAGTTAAAAATAACACACGGGAGAGAGGCGGAGCAAGATTCCAGCAGGGTCCGGCTTTCGGTTTGTTACGAATGAATGTAAATCTTCCTTTTGTGTACAAGTGAGGATTTAAGGGGTTTTCCGGGCAGAACGAACACGCACCGTGCCAAAGCCAGGCCGGACTTGGAAACTGCAGCGAGATGGATGAACAGCTGTAGATCTCCTGTGTGGAGGGAAGCACAGACTGATGGGCCACAAAGACCCACTGCAGCAGGACAGACACAAAATGAAGAGCAAAGATGTCTTTTTTTTTTTCCCCCTCCTTCCTCAAAAGAATAAAAAGCGGCCTCCAGATAAAGTCAGGTGAATGAACTGCAGACATCTGGGCTGGAACTGCGGGTTCCAGTTAGAAATGGGAGTGCGGCAGCTCCATACCCTCGCCCATTGCATTTCCAGGGCAAGCCCGCTCAGTAAGTACGTTAACAGACCTTTCCCAATTGTCAGCCCTGCAAATGCAGCCTGGGGATCAAAAACCTAGCTGGGCTCTTTCCGCCTCTTCCGTTAGCAACAAGTAAGAAAGATCCTGAAATTAACACACAAGGCCAAACAGGATCAGCTTTCACGTGCCATGATGTGCGGCCACTTCTAGGGTGTGCTGGTTAACACCACACAGGAACACTATGCAACAGCTTAGGACAGGAGCTGAAGGATGCTGAGCGCAAGTGAAAATAGACAAGGAGTTTAGGGCCCTGCTGGAATTTGGCCAGGGCAGCAGGGTTAACAGTCCTACTGCTGAGAAAAGCAGTCGGAATCTTTAATGTGCATTGGTGGTCAGGAAGTTAGTGTAAGAGGCACAACACTTGCACCACAATAATAGTGAGGACCCTTGTGTGTTGTGGGAGCCTCTCAGGACACTAAGTGCTGCACACGCCTAGGAAAACAGGCTCTGCCCCACACAGCATGTAAGCCGAATGACAAACCGCAGATCTAGGGTGAAGCTGAGGCTACAACATACATGCAGTGTGGGTCCAGGTGGATGTGTAGCACAGGAATTACAGACTCCTCTCGGAGAGGGCACACAACCCAGAACAACGGCCTCTCAGCTTCCTCGTCGTTAGCTGGGTGATCTGTTGTACTGCAGCATGACAGACCCCGATCTTTGGGGTGTGGGGGTGGGGGTGTGTGACTCAAGAGATGGTTAATGGCTTCTGAGGGACGAGAGCAACCTAAAGTCAACAGCTCAAGTTCCCGCAGAACACCTGGCTCATTCAGTTACTTCTACCTGCCCCTTTTGCGGCGCGAGGGAAACCCTGGCGCATGTTTACCTAGAGTGCGCCAGGCTGCAGCCCCTATTCCGGCTCCTCACGGATATTTTGTTAACATTTTGGTTGCACTTTTCCCCTCACCTTTTTATTTATGCACTCTCTATCCGTCGCCCCACAAAGTCACGGGATCTCCTGGTCAACTTCCTCCTGGCCCTGGCGAAAGTGGCCATCTATAAAACCAGGGTGAGGAGGTTGACCGATGGAGTCTCCTGTGACTGTGGGGCCTATTTCCGATCCTCCATCCGTTCACGTATCTGGGCAGAGTTCCTCTGGGCGGCGTCCACTGACTCCCTTGACGCCTTCGAGGAGCAGTGGGCGCTGTCCGGGGTTCTCTGCTCGGTGTCCCCGTCTGGTTCACTTCGTTTGACCCTTTGACCGCACTCCTGTCCCTGTTCTTTTATTAGTTGTCCCCCGTAATTTTTTGGTCTCCAGGTCCTGTGGACCCACCCTTAGGCTTCGCCTGCCCACTTCCTGGGATCCCTGGATCCCAGCCCTGAAGCTGAAGGACCCGATTCAGGTTTTTCCAAGCAGAAGGAAACTCGCACGCCGCCTGCGACCCCAGAGAGCCGGGGAGCGTACCTTGCTGTTCTGGATCAGCCGGATGATGTGTTCAAAGCAGTTGTTGCTGAGGAACATGGCTTGCAGGACTGGCCGGTCGTCACAATTCAGCATTTCCGGAATTGCATCTGAAGGCGAGAGGAAGAGAGTCATCCATCAACACAAGCCGAGAGGGGAACAGCGGCTGAGCGTCGCTCCATGGCAGAGTCGTGGGGAGAGGAGCAGAAATAAGGCCCGAGGGCCATGCAAGTGAACCCGGGAGGCTGGGACTGCCAATAGCTGGGTTAGCAGGCCACACGCGACCCACCCCCAGAGCTCCTGGGGGGAAAAAAAGGGAATTTGGAAAGCGGCCGGTGCCTAATTTCTAGCAGGGTACGGAGATCGTCCTCCCCTCCCAGAGAGGCGCCCGATGGAGAGAGGCAGCCACTCAAAGAGGATGCCGATGTCATGCCAGATGAACGGCCAGGCCTTGACGACGTGAGGCGGGGTTGCCTCGGTCAGCACCATGGTGCTGAGCCCAGGGTAACAGCAGGTGAAGACGAGACAACACGCGGTTGAGCCCTCCCTTAGGCAGGGCTAGCCAGGGTGGTTAAAACCGGGTGGATAACCATGCCCAGTCTTCACTAGCACGCCCAGCAGCGGCCGAGCCACACTGCCCTGGGATGCGGAGCAGCTTGCATCGCCCTGCTAGGGACTATGGGACTAACCCCAGGGACAGCCTCATCTCATTCCACTACCCCATCAGCGTTGTGCACGGTCAGGGAACCATACCTATCTTGTGCAGGAAAAGCTCACCACCCCAGAGCCCTGTCCCCCTCCCCGCACCCCGGGAACTCCAGGCCCAGCTCCTCCCAGAGCGACCTACCCAGCATGTTCACCCTCAGAGCAATCATGCCCTCCTCCCAGCGAGCGGCCTGCGGGCCTTCCAGAGAGGACATGGGTTGGTCGGAGTTGAGGACCTTGAAGTAGCTGTCCAAGATGGTCCTGATCTCCACCTTGCGCTGGCCCGGGTTGCTGGCGTGCAGGATGTGAATCATTCCCACCAGGCTCTTCAAGGTCAGCTGCAGTAGTTTGGGGTCCTTGGTGTCTCCGTTCCGGGGGGAGCACCACCGCCTGAGCACCAGCATGAGGACCTCCACGGAGGCCGGCGTGATCACCTGCAGGGCATTTTGCTGTTGAAACAAAGCAGCCCCGTTAGCTGGCGCCCCAGGATTCTCAGACCCAGGGCGGGAATCGCGCCCGCGCGCTGGGCATTGTGCAGAAACACACGTGCACCGCGCTCGGCATGCTCACGGGCGGCGCGATTTCACGCACACGGGGCTGGGAAGCTGGGCCTCAGCAGGCGTCAGAGACTCCCCTTCTGCTAGCACAATCTAGCTTCCCGCAAGAGCGTCTCATGCTCAAGGCTTGGGTCGGTCCTGCAAATGCTGTCCAGTAGAGGGCAGTAACGCAGTCAGGCTAAAGAAGCCAGGAGATCACGTCGCCCTCTACTGGCTGCAGCTTACAGGGAGGAAAGCAGAGGGAGGATGGGGAAGAAAAGGAGCGAAGAGGACGACGCTAGGAAGAAGGAAAGAAAGGACCTGCAATATCTGAAGTGCACCCACTGTGAATCTGTCTCAGACCGCCTGTGCCCCACAATCCCTACCTCCCCCGCTCCTGTCTACCTAAAGCACCAGGAGCTGCCATAGGCTCCTCCCAGGACCCAAATCCAAGCAGTGCTCTCATCTCTTCCCGCATCACCCTCCCCACCAGTAATAAAGATGTGGCGGATGGGACGAGAGATTCCACGGGGCCTCGCAGGGCGGCGCGCGGCCAGACACCGGGAACGCTTGTTTTCAGCCCTACTCTCGGCAGAGGCAGGATTCCGAATGCCTGAGAGGGGCAAGGGTGTTGACGTGACATATTGCATAGATCACCCAGGAGGATCGGTATCATTATCCCCATTTTATGGGCAGGGAAACTGAGGCACAGTGAGAACATGACGGGCCCAAGGTCACCCAGCAGGTATGGGGCAGGGCTGGGAGCACAACCCAGGTCTCCTGATTCCCAGTCTAGTGCCATTGAGCCACACTGCCTCCAGGTGGCTAAGTATCGGTGTGTCAGACTCCCAGGGCCTGAGCCCCGCTCCTGTAAAATGAGGATAACATCCTCCTTCCGCCTTGCTGGTTGACCTGTGACCTCCTCCGGGCAGGGACTCTCTAGACATGCGTGCAGCACCTAGCACAACGGGCCCCGATCTTGCTGGGGCCCGTAAGCGCTGCTGCAATACAAGTATTTTCCTCCTAAACCAACACAAGGGACACTTAAAGGCAGCGCTGGCTCCGTCGGGGTTTTCAGGCCAGCCGAACACAGCCAGCTGCACATTACGCCGCCCCTGCTCTCCAAGGACACCCCACTAGCTGCGGGGCGGCAAGTGGGAGTAAGCACACAACACGCGGCAAATGCAGAGGGGATCCAAGCAGTTTGCTTTTATGTCCTAGAAATGTGGGGCTGGAAGGGACCTCGAGAAGTCGCCTAGTCCAGCCTCCCCACCCTGAGGAAGGACCATGAAAAGCTACACCATCCCCGACAGGTGTTCGGCCCCCCCGTCCTTAAAGATCTCCGGAAAGGGTGTGGATCCTTGGTTATCAGACATGCCACGCACGCTCCCCCCCCCCCCCCCTCCCCCCCCCGGGGGGGGGTTGGGTTTCAGGAAGGAGGGGACCCCGCAGCGGCTAGGGACGAGTTACCTTGGCTCCAGAGATAATGGCTCCCAAGAGGTGGATGAGTCGCAGCTGGAGCGCCTCGGGAAGCTGCCCCTCGTCCTGGAAGCTCCCTGCAAAGGGCAAGCGGGGAGAGCGGTTTAGCCGGTCAGCCGGAGACTGAGCACCAATCTCTGGAGGGGGGTGGATTTAGCTCACCCCCAAACTCCCACTTTGGAGAACCTGGGTTACCACTGAGCAAAGGCAGGGAGAGTAGCAGGTTGGGAATCAGTGACCAAGGGCACTCTCTTTATGGGGTGCGAGCACGGGGCTCTGGGGGCACGACTGCTGGTGAGATGCCCTGGATGGGGAGAGATCTCCCAGCGTACGGTCAGCGGGGGTTGCTCTAGGACGTGCAGCAGATGATCTAATGGTATATGGCCATTACGAGCGAACACAGGGATTTTCCCCTCCACTTGTGGCACAGCCAGAGCCCTTACCCAGGCTGCCAACCACTGGGGATCGGAGGAAGAAGGGGCCTCTCTTGGTTACATTTTCTTCACCGTGAGCGAGGAAGGCTGGCCTTATGGGTACAGTGCCGGGCTGGGACTCAGACCTGCCACAGGCGCTGCGTGTGGCCTTGGGCACATCAGGCCTGACTCGATGCCTGCTGAAATCAATGGAAAGACTTCCCGGGGATCTGTATCACAATCTTTGTCACTTGGTGCCTCAGTTTCCCCACCAGTAAAGCCAGGATGACACGGCTTCCTTTCTCTGCTGGGTCTATTTAGATTGTGAGCTCGGTGGGAGAGGGACTGGCTCTCACTGGGTGTATGTACAGTGCCTAGCACACGCAGCCTTCATTTGGGTTGCCCCTCTAGGCGTTACCACACTACACATTATAAATAGTAACTTAGGGCACACTCAGATCGCCACCCTGTCTCCAGAGGTGGAGTAAGTCATGCCAGTTAGGATGGGGCGCTAGTGCCCCTTGGGAGACCAAGGATTTGAGTCCCACTTCCAGTTTTGCCACTGACTCACCATGTGGCCTTGGTTTAGAATTTTTCTGGGCCTCAGTTTCCCCATCTGTAAGAGGAGGCTGACACAGCTGCCCCTCCACCCCCAGCTCTTCACTCACTATTTGGAAAGCTCACCTCCTACTCCTTGGCTGGAAGATGCTACCGAAGGGCAAACACGCTCTTATTTAAAATGGACCCCAGCGAGCTTACGGGAGGGAGCCCGCCCCGTGCAGGGAGGGAGAGGGGCTGCATTAGCTAACGCCCTTCCCAGATCAGAGCTGTACCGCTGTAGGGTGGGAACGCTCCCTCGGTCCCGCTGTGATAGGGATGTCGGGGGATAGAGGGGTGGGGAATTCTCTCATTCTGCCCAACAGCGAAACCCTCCCCGTGTCAACCCCAGCCCAGAGCGTGCGGATCAAACAGAACGTGACGGGCGCTCGGGAAGCGCTTTGAAGATGAAAAGCGCTCCGGCTGGGTGCGGCAGCCCCACTTCCTCCGGCTGGGAGAGAGCTCACGGTGCAGCTACTCTGGGAGGCAGCATCTCACCTAGAGGAAGCATCCAGGAAGCCAAAACCCAGTTTCCTATAGGAAAGACCCCGGGAGGATATAAACAGACGAGCGAAACGCTACTGGGCCCCTCAGCGCTCACGCCAAGGGCTGCTAACGGCGGACTGGTCAGGGACTGCTCAGCCAGCGCCCTGGAACGCCTGCAAGCAGGCCGTCGTGCGAAGCCAGTGCAGGGAACCCTCGCGGCAGGGGGAGAGGGGAATATTCTCCTCCTCTAGTTTGGCTCTGCCCACACCTGGTTCCATTGCCAACCTGGGCTCCCCTTATGGGGGTCCCGCTGCCCCCAAAACAGTCACCTCTCAGGCCACGGGGTCTCCAGCACTTATGCTGCCACCTCAATCAGCTCCCCCTTGTTGGCAGACCCAGTGGAGAAGCCAGGAACTTTCTCCCCACCAACCCCCCAGGTCAGGCTGAGTCAGCGTGCGGGGAAGCCTACCCTGCATCCAGCCAGTGCTGCCAGCTCAGTGCCTTGGGCTAGCACGACATTCACGTGTCGAGCGCGGGCCGGGAGGTGAGCGCAGCATTTCCCTCCTAGCGAGGGGCACGGCGACTGCTGGGGGAGGAGGGTGACGAGACCAATGGCACGCGACCCCGGTCTCTAATCCTTGGAGCATGGCCAGCCTCCAGCCCGGCCTCTCCCAGGGACCATGAAACTGCTTCAAGTCCCAGTAGGCCCGGAGCAGGCCAAGTCGGTGCAAACTTGCTCCACAGGACTCCACGTTTCAACGCTCTCCTTGCGGGACACAAAGCTGACGAGCTGTTAGCTCACAACTCATCTCCCCTCTCCCCCACGATAGGGCCGCTGCGCAGAAAGGGAAAACCAAGAGCCAGGTACATGTACACTGCTTGCCAATAGTTCCTACTCCTTTGCCAATAGTTTCTCCCTTAGTGGTAGCATCAGAGGCCTCGTGGCTCAGGCACTGGAGGGGGACTCGAGAGGCAAATTCAATTCCCAGCTCTGCCACAGACTCCCCTATGTGCCCCTGGGCAAGTCACTTAACCGTGCTGGGGAGCTCAGGGTTATGAGGTATACCGAGCATGGTAAGCGTATGTAGTTAAGATTGGTCGCTTTATCATTCCTGTTTGAGTTACCATACTGCCCACCCAGGATCAGAGGCCCATTACGCGGAATGCTCCACACACACAAAATACAAAAGACCCAGGACACGTCACACGACCTTTGCACAGCGATGTTTGTGCAGAACATCGCACTAGGCTTTGCAGAGAGCGTGTTCCACACCTCACTGGGGAAAACCACGCCAACCCAAGGGAGAAAGGAGAAACAGCATAACAGATGGATGAAAAGCCATCCAACCCACACAGATGCAATGCACCGAGATTCAAGAGCAGGAAAGACGCCTCCTGTGAGTCACCCCTTTTGCTGGATCTGGAGCGTCTTTCTCTAAGTCACTTAATCATTCCTCACCTCTTCCCTTGACAACTTCCTGCTGGCTTGAGCTATGAGGATCAGCGTCTGGCTAGAAACACTCACTCACCTGGGTTACAAGCACCACCATCCTGGATAGGCAAGAACAGTGGCGTTACACTGTTTACTCTCTTCATTTCAGAGGCAAAGGGACTGCTCAGTTTCACTTCTGTTGCTAGTCAGTTTCACATTCCAGGTGTCCTGTGCTACCTCCAAAGCAAACTTATGTGGGCAGGAAAGACATGGATGGGGTTTAGATGGGTGTTTTCTTAAACAAAGCCCTTCTCAATGGAAGTTTTCAAAAAAACCCTCACGGAAACACCTCTTGACCTTCAGCATTAAACATCTTCTGTGGCACCAGCATCTCTGCATGCCACACGCATGGTTCAGGGAGCTGGTAACTGGGCATCCAGCTTGGATGGCTGTTTCACTTACAGGAGATTGCAGTGCTGTCCAGGCACCGTACAGCTTAGCGTAGTACTATTACAGGGTTTGGGGCCGGGGCACGGTGCAGGAATCCTTGTGGGAGAGGTTCTCTGGCCTGGGTTAGGAGTAGATCAGACTAGACTGCCTCAGTCTAAGCACATCATTTCCAAGCACATCATGCTGGGGTTTATTTAGAGGCTGGAGAGGCAGGTGTCTCGGCTGGTTTAGACACAACAAACCCTGCATCTTGGCAGGGGGTTAGACTAGATGACCCTTCCGGTCCCTGTGGGTCTACGATTAAACGCTGCTTCTACAAGACCTACGCCTGGGGCCAAGTCTGAGCTGACCATTTCCTCTTAAGGGCAGCAAGGAGCGTACCTGAGATCTCAGCGTTTTTCATTGTCGATCTCAAAGCCCTTTACAAAGGGAGGCTCACGAGCATTAGCCCGGTTTTACAACCGAGAAAGCCGAGGCACAAGGAGACTCCCGCGGCGCCACACAGCAATCGGGGACGAGAACCCAGCTCCCCAGGCAAGCAGCAGGATGGGCACTGAGAAGGGGAAGAGCGAGGATGAGAGGAGTGAGGTTGCGAGTCGGGTGTGTGGGTTGGTGGCAGAAGGGAGGGTGCTATAGAAAAGGGAAGGAAACAAGCGACAGATTGGAGAAGATACCAGCAGGCACATGGTCAGAAGCCCAGCTACCGGCATCGATACAAACACCAGCCACCGAAAACCCCACGAGGCTTCACCGCCCAGAAGCGGGTTTTCCCCAAAGGAAATTCTGCCAATTAATTCCACGAGAAGACTCATGTGGAGACGCTTGTCCCCGGGCACAGCGTGTGCCTGAGAGCTCATTATCTAGTAGGGCTGCTGGACGTGGGGCTCAGGGGAGGTTTCGCTGGTGCCCCCTGATTCTTTGTGGGACAGGGTGGGATTTTAACAGCGCCGCAAAGGGCCCCAACCTTGCAGGTGCGCCGTGCTTACGGCCGTCGCTCCCAACAGGCACCGGGACAGAACGTGCTATGTGAGAAATCAGCCCAGATGCAAAGGGCGTTTTTCCTCCTAAAAATAACGGGGCAAGGGGATTTACACCATGTGGTCAAAGAAAAACTTCCTGCGTAGTTTTAGGGGCTTTTTCTGCCCTGTCATGACTAGAAAGGGGCTATCGCTTAGCTTCCCTGCAGCAGTCAGATGCAAGTTCTCCAGCTATTAACTCCAGCCACAACCCTGCAGCCTCGTAGCTCAGCGGCACTAACTCAGGTGTGTAAAATTAAGTGTGTGTGTGTGTGTGTGTGTGTGTGTGTGTGTAGCCTTCAGAAGGGTCCATCCAGTGAGGCACCCTCCTGTCTAAGACACACACCAACCTGGCATCAGGCGCCTGGCAGAGCTCCTGGCGTGGAGAGGCCAAGATACCGGAGGAAAAAGGAAGTCTACTGTTCCCGCTCTAGACGTATCCACTACTCCGGTGCCGTGTGATCAATGGAAACTGGTAAATAAAGCATTAGGGGCACCCAGTCCTACGCTGAAACATCTGGAGTCTACGGCCTCCCTGTTGCACAGGGGAGCGCTTGCTGGTGCGCAGAGCAAACCCATTAGCATGCAAAGGAAAGCGCGCCAGTGAGGATAAATCCCCAGCTAGCAACAGAGAATATTAAAAACCCGAGTAGCCCACAAGTAACGTGCAATCAATCCACTCCACCAGGTTCCTGCCCCCATGGGAATGGCTGCCTCTTCTAAAAGCAGCGCTAACATCCTGGCTTTGATTTCTGCCCCCGCCGCTCAGTCCTCTCATACACGTGTGGTCTAATTCAGACTAAGCATCCCAGGCCAGGGACCCCATCTTTACTTGTGCCCTGGATAGATATTGCTAATCCTGAGCCAGGCCAAACTCTGAGCCCTGGGAGGTTACCCCTGCACTAGACATCCAAGTACCATTTGTTATCTAATCAGATACTCACCGTGCTCAGGCGCTCTACTGGTCACTTCCAACATGTGTGTAAGTAACCCACACGTTCATACGGTCCAAAGTGTTTAATACAAGATCCAATCTAAAGTCTCCCAATGCAAGGAGTTGCCCCTGTGTAGCTTATTCGCCATAATAAAATACAGGGCTTCAACTCAGCTCATCAATAAAGCACGGGACTTGTTCAAATCTGAGCCTGGATATAGATTTTGGATGTCACATATCCCTGCAGTTTCGGGGTGCCTGAATCCAGGGTTTTTCTGTAATCCCACCCCCGCTCTATTTCCTCCAACAGTACAGGCCTCCAGTTAGTCAGGAAGTTATTGGTGAATTCAAGTTAATCTTAGAAAATGAGGGGCTATGTTGAAATGGAGGTGGTGAGGGTGGGGGGGGAATTTCATGAAACCCAACCCTCCCACACCCTAGTTAAGAAGTAACTTGTAAATGGGGAGGGAATTGTGTTTGCAGACTTTCTTCCTTCTTTATAGTGTTGTGGAAAAGCCTGGAGGGGTATTTTCAAAAATGATGTTTTACATTAGAAATTCGGGTCTTGTTCTTGGAAGATTTCCAAGTACAGGACAATGAAAGAGGTTGTGTCATCTGGGAAGCAAAACCTACAAAGCTTTAAGTCAGATTGTCTAAAACTGTTTATTTTGTGTAATGCCTATTTAACTGCAATGCCCGAGGAACAGTTGGGAGAAAAGCTCTCAATAAAAAAACAAAACAAAAAACCCTCCTTCAATGAAAGCTCCCTGGTCCTCCAACAAGACTTCCACCAAGAATAGGGAAAATGAGATTTGCCATTTCTAAAACAAACAAGAAGAACTTTTTTTGGGGAGTGGGGGAGTGGGGAGGGGAAACCAGCACTTAACTGAAGATGCTGGAATGGTTCATAAAGGGGTCTGTTTCTCTCAGTGTTTGAGTAAAGCAAGCACAAAATAAAAGTTTAAGAGTGAACAGAAATAATCCCTTTCCCTAAATTGGGTTTCACTCCGGCCAGCCACAGAGTCCTCCAAGAACAGCAGGTTAGCCAAGACCTGAGTTTCTAATGTAAAATAATCACCAAGCTGGGGTGGGGGATGGGGCTTTCAAAAAGTAAAGAAAACGTCCAAAGCGTATTTCTACAGCACGGCAAGCAACCAGCTATTTCTCCCCCATCCAGTCAGATCGCACTGGGCTTTTCATCTCCAATACAAAGGAAGGAAAGGTTGATTTGTGAAGTGAACGGGGTCAAGTCCAGAGGTCCATAGGCTGCAGCTCCTTGCAAGAGAGCCGCACGCCCAGCTTTCTGAAACAGCTCCGCCCCATTCAATCAAGACTCTTCCTCTTTAGATGCCATCAGCACGCGGCGGGACATGGTAACGGGACGGAGCAGCAGCACGGACACCCCGCCCCCCCTCCTCAGAAGTGGTCACTTGCTCCTCGGGGACGAAGTAGCTGGGAAGGAGTGGCCGGGAGGACCGTGTCACTCTGAGAGGCAGGACAAACCCGTTTCCCTGTGAAACGGGTTATCGGGCTGCTGCTAGCGCTGGTTATTTCTGGTAGCCCTAGCTCTCGGTGGAGAGCCCAACGAGACCAGCCGGGCGCGCTCAGTCACACTTCCCGGAGTCTCCATCATCACCTGGCGCTTGGATGGCACCAAGATGAGGTTGAGCCTGGTTGGCCACAGACAGCAAACACACAACGGTGAGGAGACTGCACGGCGTGTACTGATGCTAGCTGCCGAGCCATCCCCCATGCCCAGCTCCCGGCCCATCCGATTGGTGCAGGCTCCCACCAGGAGGCTGGAAGGGAACTGGGGGGCCACCCACGCTGCTGCCCCAATTTGTAGCATTCCCCCTTCCCTCTCTCTTCGCTGCCATTGTCCTCTCCTGGAGGGAGGCTGAAATGAATGAGCTCTTAGCAGCACCAGCTGAGATCAGGGCCCCATCGTCCTGGACACAGGAAGACAGTCTCTGCCCCACAGAACCTGCAACCTACATGAACAAGAGAGACAAAGGGCAGGAGGAACAGGACGTTCCCCCGCCGCATTTTACAGATGGGGTCACATGGAAGGGCTAAGGGTGGTCGTGCAGAGCTCCAAGTCCCAGACCAGCGCTTCAGCTGCAAACCCACCCTTCCTTGTGCAAACAGCCAGGACGTTCCATCTAGTCCCCCTTACAGCGCTTCCAAAGCCTCCCCCGTTGTGGTGCGTCTCAGCACTGCCAGTGAAAGCCCCCAGACGGCTCCCAAACTCCAGGCCTTTCCCCGGCCTCTGAGCTCTTGGTTCCACACAGGAATATCCCCCGCCCCCCACCCCTTTACTGTACAACGTTCCTTAGGAAGTTCGTTACAGAAGTTAACGAATCAATGAGCCGAGAGAGGCAACGTGATCAGGCTCAGAGTCCAAGACAGCGAGCGCTCAGCTCCGGCAACGAAGGTAATTCCTTTGATAGTTGGGGGAAATTTGCCTAGAAACTGACACAAGGCTATTTACCGCCCCAGGGATGAGGGGTAAAGGTGTTCCCAGGCTCAGCCAGAGGCACACGGCACATCTGGCAAGACAATTCCAAGAGCCAGAAGAAAGCAAGCAGCAAAGGGAACTCCAACCACCGTGTGGAATTCCCCTTGCAAGCCCACAGAGAATGGGCCCGGAAGGGATGGGAGGTGGCTTCGGTAGCTAGGAAAGCCCCCAGGAAGCCTTCCTGATGTCCAAGCAAAATGAGAACAAAACCCAGCCATTCAACGGCTCGCAGGAGAGTTTTATACACCGGCACATGTGACCAGGCCAATGCTACTGGGTGGAACTCGCCCAGCGTCCCAGTGGAGGAGCGTCCACATTACGAACCCCCTGCCCATTTGCAGACAGCCTCAGCAGAGAGGGCCCAGACTGAATGGGTCTGGAGAGTCAACTCCTCTCAGAAGCCCAAGGAGCGGGTCCTTCAAATTAAGCAGTAGGCACACTGCTGCTACGTGGAGAAACAGGCAGGTCCAGTTTCCAAGGCTGGTAAACCGGTACCTTTCGCCAAAACTACATTCGCTCCCCATCCCCACTTGAAACAACGCACTCAGTCCCCACTCCTCTGGGATACAGGGACATGAGAGGCAGAATGGGGTTCTGGGTAATATGCAAATACACTTTCTCAACATGTACTGCCGGCTCACAGCTGCCGTCTGGCAGCGCTGGGGTCCCGCCTATAGGGAGGAAATCTGGGAAGCGCAAGCGTGCTTTTTGGGTGCACACACTGCTCTTTTCAACACCAGAGAGCCCCCAGTGCCAGGGAGGAGGAAATCAAGGGTCATTAAAGACGATAACAACAACTGCCTGCAAAGGCCTGGAAAGGTTAGGGTGACATTTTACTCGAGCATGGGGAAGGAAGGAGGAGGGCTCCTGAACAGAGAGATAACAGCACTGGAGACAGACGAACCTCCAACCAGAGCTGGAGGAGGGGGGAGTTGGTTGTTTGGCATTTACCTTGGAAGAAAGTGCTGAACTCTAGAGGCAAAGCAGCTGGTGCAAACTTGTATTTGCTCTTCTCTTTCATGCTGACGATTTCCCTAGAAACACAGGAAACGCAGGGGAAGTGAGACAGGATTCCAGGCGGGGAGCAGCTAACAGGGAACAAGCCGGAGACGGGGGCATTGAATTTACTCGGCCAAGGCATCCGAGTGGTGCAGCGCCGAGTCATTCCATGCCCGTGTGTCATGCTGCATGTTTGAAATGGGGAGTGACGTGTCTCCAGACCCCACTCTCCGACACCCCACGCCGACGGGTTTTATGCAATGGATTATGGCTCATCGTCGAATCCGACCCCGCAGGCCAGCCGAGCTGTGACAACCTGCCTAGACCACAGCACAGCCAGACCATCCACACAGGACGCTGCTCCACACCCACTCACCCGCTCAGCTGCCGCCTCCACGTCTGGTAGGGGTCGAAGAGGCATTCGTAGAGGTGCAATGCATAGACGGTTACGGTCTCTAGCTGAGACCTGCTGGGGGCACACTGCTCCGGGGTGTTCTTTAGCTGCAAGGACAGAAGAAACCTGGTTAATTTGCAGCATTAAAAAAAAAAAAAAACCTTCGCCCACCCCCCACTAAATAATCTTCATTAACATTCAGTCGGGCTGCTGAAAAAGTGCCTTGAAGATGTGAAGTGCTATTGAAATGCTGTATTATTATTCAGGCTAATTTCACTCATTTGATCCTAAGCTCCTTCAGAGGAAGTGGAAGAGGGTGTGTTTGAGTCTGTCGCAGCTGCTCTTGAAGGTGACCTTTATTATTACTACCTCCCTCCAGAGGACATGGGCTGGGATCGGAGGGCCTTTCTGCGCCAGGTGCTGTACACACACACACACACACACACACTAAAAAGACAGTCCCCACCCTGAAGATCTCACAATCTTAACATATTATGGGGCACAACAGGGGGAGATGAACAAAAAAGGCAGAGGGGGAAGCCAGCCAAATGACTGGGTGTGTTATACTAAGCAGCAGTTGCAATGTGGCCAATGACCACAAAGGATGTTTTTAACAACCCAACTGACCATTTTGGCTTCCTTTGATAGAAAAATGCAGCCTGAAAAAGCTTGTTTGATTTTTTTTTTTTTAAATTTTTCCTGGTTGTTATTTACCTTTGAAATCCCACCCCAATGTCAAGTCTGATCATTCCTGGTGTATCTGGATGACCTCTGGGAGGCCTTGGGGACGCTTACTGTGGATTTTAACAAGGGCTGAAGGTGTGGAGTCTTTAACAAAGGCTTCCTTTTCCAAAGTGTTGCTTAGTCATTGGCATTAAACGAATGCCACCAAAAAAGTTCTATGCAGCCTAATTAAAAACTCCCTGCCCCTCGTAATAGCTCAAACTTTCCCTCCCTACATTTAAGAGGTCACCGTTCAGCTCTCCACTTAGCCTTGCACGCTAGACAGGATCTGGGTGTCTAGCGTTAAACAGGGAGCATCATTTTCAAGCTGCCTTTGTTCATCATAAAACACAATCAATCAGGCACACGTCCAATTTGTTTCATCTTGGTGGGTCACCTGTAAGGGGTGTTGGAGAGGGGAAGTGAACCGGCCAGTCATCAGAATTTCTTTCAAGTCACGGCGGTCCCCCAGAAGTCATGAAAATGTGAGCTCCATAATTTAACAGTTCGCCCTACCATAGGGGTCCCACTCAGAGCCACACATTATGGCATTACATGGTACACGGGACCTTGTCTGGGCCTGCTGTGCTGGCATGAGACTCACTCACTGAGTGCAGAACATGTGTGCAGCATAGCAACATGTCACTTCATGGCTGTTCTTTGCGGGATTCAGTGTCCTGGCCCCTGTATGACATGTCAGTGACACACTTCATCCAGGATGAGGCCTTAGAAGAGAGCTCTACGGCCCAAGAGCCAGTGTATTCCAGGTTCATAGATTCGAAGGCAGAAGGGACCACAGATCTAGTCTGATCTCCTGTATAACACAGGCCAGGGGAAACCCTTGCGTTTTGCTGGCTTCTTAATATCAATAGCCCATATATGGATTTCGGGTTGATTTCAACAACAGGCCAAGCCCAGACATAAGCATTTCCATGCTCACAGCATGCAACTTCCACTGTTGCATGCGGGGTTATCTAGAGGCCCTGTGTAACGGGGCATGTGCCTGGCACAAACACACATGCTAGGAAGCCGGCGCTTACCTTGGCTGTACATGCAACCAGCAAGCTAAGCACCTCGTGGATAAAAACTGGCGTCCTGTCGGCCTGGACATTTTCTAAATTCCTGCAAGGAGGGGGGGGGGGAGAGAAAAAAGAGGGGGGGGATGAGAAATTCTTGCAATTGGTTTAGATAAAGAGCAGCAAAGGGGAATGCTGCAAGCTGTGTACAGTTTGGTTTGCAATAGATTGGCCGGGGGGGGGGGGGCGGGGGGGGGCGTGTGGAATCAGCTGAGCTTTGCCTGGTTTTTAAGTGAATTAGTCTATCACCACAGTAGTTAGCGATTTATCCATGGCTCCCCTTGCCTCAGGGCAACTTTTATATAGTGGTCACATCAGCTGGGTCTTAAAAAAGAGAGCCATCACCCTACCCCAAATACTGTCCCAAGGTCAATTAACTCAATCGGATGTGTCTTTCGCTGCACCCTACAGGCACTCAAGCAGTCTGACAGAGAGACCAAACACCAGCAGACAGTAACGCTGACCCTGCTGTCTGACTAGCATTTCAGAGAGTGCTTGTTGGAATAAGTGCTTGAGCACGGTAGCAAATGGGGCCGCTCATTCCCTTCATGCCCAAGAGGAGCGTTCTCCTCTAGAGCATTGGCCTGCTAAACCCAGGGCTGTGAGTTTAATCCTTGAGGGGGCCATTTAGAGAACTGGGGTAAAAATCTGTCTGGGGATTGGTCCTGCTTTGAGCAGAGGGTTGGACTAGACCTCCTGAGGTCCCTTCCCACCCTGATCTTCTATGATTCTAGATCTGCAATGGGGAGGCACTGGAGTGATGCAGAGGTAGAGCTGTGCTTGCCCCAGCCGGGAAAGTAATTGAAGGCAGAACCAGTCCCAATCCTACAGCCAAGCCCATTGCCCTCTCTCAGAGAGGCACTGGTGGAGTCCCACCCAGCTCTCCTCAGCTAAAGGGAAGTCCCTTGATAATTGCCACGGAGGGAGGTGGTAAACTGGAGGAAAGGAAAGGGCGGCCACGTCTGTCCACCAGCAACGGGGGAGTCAGACAGGGCGAGAGCCCTTCTCAGCCAGGGGAACTTTCCGATCAGGACACACAGAGGCAAACGCACAAATTCCCTTTAGGAAATTAACTCAGTCCCCAGTGAACGTTGCCTAGAGAAAAGTGAACTTCCAAGACCTGGGGCAGAAGAAGGTGCCAGGAAGAGCTCACCAGCCCCTGCCAGACAAGGCCAGCTTGGATCTGGTGTAGAGCAGGTTCCAGTTACATCAGTCTACAATGAGCCGTCACAGCCCCCAAGATTCTCCTCTCCCCTACCAACCCCTTAGTTCAACTCGAGCATCAGAAAGAACCTTGATGGGCAAAGGACATTTGAAATGCTCCCGACAGACATGGGGGAGTGGGTATCTCAAGACTGGCACTGGTCAAGAATTTTCCATTTTTTTTGCAAAAAAGCGTCCGCTTTCTGTGGAAACCTGAAGTATTTGGACATGTTGCCTCACCTCCCACCCCCATTCTTCTCTATGGGCTGAACTCTCTGGTCGGACTACAGCTCCCACGATGCATGACCTCCCCTGACCAAGAGGAGAGACCATGTTGCTTCATAGGAGAAGTAGTCCACCCAGGGAGCCCACCCCATGGATGAGAATAGGGGTGTGAGTCACCCAAACTACAACTCCCATGAGGTATTGCAGCAGCACTTCAGAATTTAAGGTCTTTTGGATTTTGGCTAAAATTTCAAATTTTTGCCAAGAAAAACTAAATTTTCTGCCAAAATTCCCCCCTCCGCCCCAACCAGGTTTAGTCAAGACCTCTCTTCTTGGCAGGACCAGTCTCTCAATTCCCTCTGTTCAGTCCAGTGTCCCCATCATGGCTGCATCTCCAGCCATAGCATTTGGGGCAACAATGACCATAGTGTGGCTAAACGCTCTGAGATTTGGGGTCCTGAGAAACCTCCTGAAAGCCCGAGTTTTGGGCCAAAAAGCCTGAAGTTCGATAGACATTGCCACCCACCTCCCCCAGCGCCGAGCTGGCCAGAACTTCCACCGGGACCCCCTCCCTTTCTGCTGCCAATTAGCCCTTCTGGCCACAGCTTAGAAGGGAGGCCGTGCTGGGGGAATGAAAGACGAAGCCCACAGCTGGCTGTGGAGAGCAAGGCAGGTGAGGGAGGTGATGGAGCCTGGTCTTGCTGAGGGGAACGGAAGGGGTAGCTCGCTGGCTGAGAACGTCCTCCCCTCCAATGGTTAAGAGAGGGGAGAAGAGCAGGTCAGCCCAGCCAGAGGGCGTGAACGTCACTGGTCTGCACAAACAAACCACAAATCCTGACACACACAAGTCCAATTGTTCAGAACTGGCCCTTCTCCAGAGCTAAATATAAAGGCAGCGCCCGTTCCGGGGGTGGGGGTGACAGAGATGAGCCTTTGCAAGACTCGGGAGGAGGCAGGTGGATGGGTTCTCAGAATCATGCTTCAAAGGGACCCTCAAGAGCTCAGTTAATGAGGACGGCGGCTGCCAAGTCTCCCAAGTCACCGGGTTGTATTTGAGGCCCTCCCCCCCCCCCCCCTCCACCGTGAACATGAGTCAATTATCAGCCCTTCCTTATCTCTGGCAGGCAGACAGCAGGCACCAGCAGGCAGGAATGCAGGAAGGGAGAGAAAACATGGGTTTCCAAAGCCCCCTTCCAGGACTAGCCGAAATTCACAGGCTGGGAGGGGAGGGGCGGAAAGGGGACAGACGGGACTCCCCGTGTCAGTGCGGAGAATGACAGAAGCATTGGGGAGGGGGGGGAGTATTGGGGAGGGTGGAGGACGGATCCACAGCCATCCAAGGAGGTGTGGTCCCCCGAGTCTTATTTCACAGACCTGGAACAAAGCAGGGGTTCCACCCAGCTGCAGCCCAACCAGAGGGAGTTCACCGGAAAGTGGTTGAGGTGATCAGGGACTGACGGAGAGGATTAAGAAGAATTGCAGGTCTCTTAACCCAGCTAAGCACTAATTAAGCAGGGGGGGGGGTGGGGGGCGGGGAAGAGGAAGAGAGAATAACTGGTTACATGCATGTACATACATTGCAAACCATCTACATCAAAGGTTGCAACTCCCACCGTCTCTTGCAGACGAAGGATGCCAGAAAAATTGCACGTGATAGGTGTAATGAAGAAGCAGGGCCGGCTCCAGGCACCAGCCCAGCAAGCAGGTGCTTGGGGCGGCCAAGGGGAAGGGGCGGCACGTCGGGCTCTTCAGCGGCAATTCGGCGGCGGGTCCCTCGGTCCCTCTCGGAGGGAAGCACCTGCTGCCGAATTGCCGCCAAAGAAGAAAGCGGCACGGTGGAGCTGCCGCCGATCGCAATCGTGGCTTCACCCCCCCACCCCCACCCCCGCCCCCGCCACTTGGGGCGGCAAAAGCCTTGGAGCCGGCCCTGGGGAAAAGGAATCCCTTGGAGGAACAATGGCCTTTGTGGTTAAGGCATACAACTGGGACTCTGCGTGAGGATCCACAGGCTAGAAGCTGGATCTGCTGCTGCCTGGGCGGCTGACACATCCACGCTCCAACCTGACCGCTCTGGCAGAGCGGCGACTGACGGGCCGTGAACCTCATGGGCCCAAGCCTCATGGGATGTGCTGCCCACAAAGGGCCTGATAGGTGCCGGTGCACTGCTTAAACCTGGAGGGGACACCCAGAGAGTGTGCACGCACCTACGCAGATCCCCAGCTGGCTGCTAACACAGATCCTGTTCTTTCACCTTGCTCCTGGTCCCTGGTTTCTAAGCCCAGCTCTGACTTTTGACTCTGGGTTCCTGGCTTCTGATTCTGGCTCCCGACTCGGGTCTCCGGCCCCAGACTCCAGCTCCACCCACTAGTCCTCACTGCACATGCCCCAGCCATGACACTTGGGACATCAGACTCACTATGAGACCTTGGGCATGCCCCTAAATCTCTGTGCCTCAGTTTCCCCATCTGTAAAATGGGGATACTACTTCTTTTCTCTCACCCCCTGTCTGGTCCATTGATGCTGTAAGCTCTTCAGGGCAGGAGCTGTCTCTTACTAGATGCATACACAGCTCCTAGCGCAATGGGCCCGTGATCTCAACTGGGACTTCGACATGCTGCCATAATATAGAACAGTAATGCTGCTATCGCTCTTCACTGAGGGCGGGCCAAGGGGTACAGGTAGGAGCAAATGGAGGAGGAAATCACTAGCAAAGAACATTTTCTAATGGAGGGTTGTACTGGGCTGTGGAAGAATGAGATTTGAAAGGATGGAAAAGCTGATTTGTTCATTTGTCGATCATTTAAATTGACCAGGGATCAGAAATATTTGCAAGTTACGATGGGTGAAAAAACAAAACAAAACGAGTGCTGTGTCTTCGGGGACGTCCGCACTACGAGCTGGACGTACTGACGCCAGCTCCCGAAGCCACACCCACGCGAGCACCGAGCGGGCTAGCGCGCTGAAAACGGACGCAGAGCAGAGGTGGCGCGAGGACGTGCCCAGCGCCTCAGACGGGAGCGTACGGGGAACGGCGAGCCCTTTGCGCCGCTGCGGCCACGCTTCCGTTTCCAGTGCGCTAGCCCGATCAGAGCTAGTGCGAGTCTGGTTCCTGTTGCTGGACCTGACAGCTCCTGCTCCAGGTGTCCACGTCCTCAGACAGCGAGCGGGTGTCATGTTTGGGGATCGGCATTCTCTTCTAAAGAGCCTCCATCCCCATCCTGAGGGTGCGCTGGGGGAAGGATGCAAAGGCTGAAAGAGACCTACTGGGCATGTTTCATCTCTGGGGATGATCAGAAGCTAAGGAGAGAGAGACAGGAAGTGACCAGGGCATTAGCTAAGAGTCCCCTCCCAAAGGCAATCTGTAATGTTCAGAGCCATTCAGCATCTCCTAAAACCAATACCCCACCGTCACCATCTCCTACAAAGCCAGTCTACCACCAGCACACGGGACAGGGAGAAGTGAGAAACTTTACCCCAGCGTCATTTTTAGCTACTGAAAGCTCATCTAGCAGCTAAGAATAGGGGAACTGGGAGCCAGGAGACCTGGGTTCTAATCTCAGTTCCACTGCCAACATGGCATGTGGCTCTGGGCAAGTCACTTGCCTGCTTGGTGCCTCA